TCAACGCCCCCCCCCCCCTCGTCACACATCGTCACAAATGTCTGACCCCCCCCTAGGTGCGTGACGTCATTTATGGACGGCCCCTAATAGTGCAATCTGTTACATATCCAGCCCCATTGTCAATCCAGTGCTGGTGACGGTCTCCTCTCGCTGTGCGGGTTGTTTGACCATACTTCACTACTTTGGTCAGAGTGGAAAAAATGTGCACGCAACTATTATAACCTCGGTTATTCCGAGTGCGCTGAATTCATGTATATATTGCAAGCTCATTGACACGCGGCGGGAGATAAGCATAGGTAATTTTGCTAGGCTGCCCTGTGCTGTTCATAACACAATACGTGTAGCATGAGATTAATAATATATTTTTAAATCGACAGTGATAAAAGAGTCGACGCATCATCCCACCACGAGTGACTACACGTTACAACGGGCACGCTCTGTGTGTGATAGGGGGTATATGAATACGTGTGTGTATTAATATCGATGCGTGTTGTATGTGAGAGCGTCTGCCCGCATGTACGTGTATGCATGTGTGTACGCGCGCACGCGTGTGTGTCTGTCGTTAAGTCGGATAATTTACTCGTCGGGCTATAAGTGTCCCATCCGCTGTCTTAACTACAGTATCCGTTGCCCAAAAAATTCCGACACAATTATGTCACAGTGTATATATATAAAAAGTGCTGTCGCTTTATGATTATAACTTGCTAATCGATGTCAGTAGACACCGATGGACTGGCTCACGATGCTGGTGATGACAGCCTCTATCCACTGCTCCATAGTATAGTCTCCCATGTCACTGTATATGGTAGAATACATGGAAAGAGATTATTTCAAACATCTGAAATCAATGTAATGGACATTGAAAAGGTTGTACAGGTGTCCTACAGTCAAATATCTGCTTTTAAATGCAGTACAAAACATCAGTGACTGGTGATTAATATGGAATTCAGACTTACGACAAATTACTGTATTAAGATTTAGTGGAATTCCTCAAGCATCTCAATGCGATTGCATCCTAAAAATCTGAATTCAAAGAGACTCACTGCATGAGATTGCGGTTAAAATTTTTATTTTTTTATTTTTGGAGGATTGCCTTCCTCTCCCTTTTAGTGATTGTGTTATCAACGTCATCTCTTGAGATATTTATTGGATCTCTTGCAGAGCAGTACAACCCTTCATGTTAAGAGAATGAGCTGTGGAAGCAGATATCACAGAGCTACCTCTGAGATCCCTTCAAGTGACCTCTGGTCTATATAGTAGAGGGCAACACTTTCCCACTAAATCTGCCACTGAGAGTAACGTTTGTCACACAATAGTCAAAACAATTACTGTATTAGTACATTTCAGAACTGAAATATATCCAAATTAAGTGTAGAACCAAATTACATGTGACGGTTATTTTTGTGCAGGCAATGTTGACCGAGCTGACACCATGAACCCTTGAGAACCCGGTGGCTGCCTGGATTCAATTCTAGGATCTCAAAAGTGCCAGCTCAGCGCTCTGACCTCTGAGTGTCCTGGCCACCTTGAGAAGCGATTTTTACTTATTGGAAGGGAGACTTAGCAAATGGAGAGTGCTGGTTTGTACCAAACAATATATTCGGATTAATGGAAAGAAACACAGACAGATGATAAGAGGAACATCTTAATTCTGGACTTGAACAAACCGATGAAGTCAGCCATGTGGACAGATTGAAGTGAGACTTCCAGACAGTGGGAGCAGCAGCAGAGAAGGTGTAACCTTCAACTGAGTGAGGATTGACTCAGGATTTGACAGGAGGCCTTGGCTACTGGAGCAGAGTGGACTTGGGGCAGTCGTGATGTGAGAAGGGATAGGAAGGTTGTGGCAGCCCTGACTCATGTTGACATTAGTGTAAAAACTTTTTGTGCACCATACTGGAGCATTATGGGTCAATACATTACTTAAATTATCTTCTATATCTCCACTTCTTTTGTCTATTGGTCGACTGGCTTTCTAGACTTGGGCTATGTTTAAGCAAGCTAACTCTGGACTGGTTTCAAGCTTCTGGGTATATCTGCAGTCAGACATGCTCAGCAAATACTGCTCACTTACCAGATGATTGCACGTTCTCTAAATGACGGGGTTTTATCAGCCGAAATGAAATAAATGAAACTACTTCATTTTTGTATTTCTACATGCAAACATTGTAAAGTCATGCTAGTCTGGGAGTCAAACTAGTGTGGGTACTGTTTTATAATGGATCTACACACTTGATTAGTGTAGCACTGCCTGATAAGGAAACACATTATTGGCGATGTATCCGGCAATGGCCCTTCATGACAGAATATAAATATAGAGGCCAAACATGTAGAGTCAAAAAGAGTCACTCTACCTCTCTGGTCTCTATGTATGCGCTATGAAGAAGGCCCATTACCCACGAATCACCTCTTCTATAAATTGATTTATTTTAAGGCAGTGTAAACGACAAATGTATTGAGTTTATTGTTATGTGTACTTGTCCAGCACTACCAATACAATATCACCAAATAATTAGATGAATGTAGAGTGGGTACTCGGAAGAGCATCTTATTTGGTTTCTGACTCGTGTGGGCCTCTGTAGTATTTCGCGTTAGGGTTGGAGTTAGGGTTCAAACACACCACTTCAAGGAAGATCTGGCTACACACAATTCTACGTTTTAAAAAAATCGTTCATGAAAAGTCCACGAAGATTTTGATTTACGTGAGTGCGCCCGATTTTGTCAGATCTCCGGAGTAAAGAATGGTTGAGCTTGGATCGTGCTTTGGGTAGGTGACCACCATACACAAACAGGTGTCATAGACTGCACCGCGGCTACATCGTCAGCAGAGGGCAGTGCAGCAACATCCACTTGTATTGTACCACGTCCCTTCACCAACACACATTGACCATCGTGGCGAAGTATGAGCTAATAACCTCCACAATACACACTGCGTGGGGGAAATGTTCCCATCCAGTAGATGTTTGACAAAAGGGCTGTACATGTAGAGCACCACTGAAGGTTGATGAATACTCCCGATTGATTCTCCGCTGTGGCCGCGTGTTCCTTGCTTATGGAACAAATAGAGGCCACGGGGCTGGGCTCCGATAAAGCGTGACTCACGCTGGCACCGTTTCCCGTGATATGGATGAATTAATGTGTTTATTGCAATGAAATAAATAAAGCTGGCGAAGTTTGTTCTAACGACTGAAAGGGCATGTCATCGAATAGATCTTGCAACAAAGACTTCTTCCAGATGATAGATTCCAAAGCGTTACTTGTTTATTAAACAAGGCAACCTTGGACAAGTTTTACCCACCCACACAGAGTTTCTGATTGGGTCTGCAGCTGTAATAGCAGAATTGTTTGTTCGTGTACAAATGTTTTGTAAAAGTGACATCATGGGAAAAATTACATGCCTTTAAAAAAATGTACCGCGTTAGATCAGTTCACATATTTTTTCGATGCTCAAATCACCCTGAATGCACCTGGTCTCATCAAATAAAAAAAATCTCAACAGATTTCAGCCTGGTTAGTACTTGGATGAGAGAATACCGAGGAACACCAGGTGTTGTCGGACTGACTGCGAGGTGGCCATCAGGTGGCAGTACAGCAAATGATTGAATCTAAGCGTGTGGAACTTTGATTGTTACCACCTCCTATGTGTTGTTTTTCTTCGGTTACTCCAATTTCATCCCATATGTAAAATACTGTACTCATTTAGGAAGTTGGCAAACATCTCAGTGCATTATCCTCATGAAAAGAGTCTTGAGACTCAGGTAAGCTCTGTAATTTCTAAAGGGCATAATTTTCCACGTTATAAACTTGATTTGGCGCTCTGTCTCTGTGTTGTCTCTCTCTGCCCGTGTGTCTGTCTTTGTGTCTCCGTGTCTGTGTCTTGTCTCTCTCTCAAATTTCACACTTAACTTCTAATTTAGCAATCTCTGGAAGAGTGTAATCAACCAGGCTATGCGTTAATTGTGTGTTGACCGACTCTCTGTGTTGCATTGCATTACATTTCCAAATTTTACTAAGTTTGTTTGATTTAGTGTGTTTTCTCTCTCTCTGTCTCCCCTCGTTTTGTTGCTCTTATTTCCTGCAGTTACGAAGGCTCCAAGTCTCTCATTGACATGCTAATTTCTCTACCCCCCCCTCTCTCTCTGCCCCCCTCTCTCTCTATTTAAGGCCTCGACACAAAGGCGTTGTTTCTCTGTGTGCCTATGTGTGTACAGTATCTCTCTCTGTGTGTCTCTGTGTTTTCTCTCTCTGCTTATGTGTCTGTCTATGTGTCTCCGGTTCTGTGTTTTATCTCTCTCAAATGTAGCAATCTTTGAAAGAACGTAATCAACCAGGTATGGTGTTGACTGTTATGTTAGCCGACTCTCTGTGTTGTATTACATTATATTTCTAAGTTACTAGCTTTGTTTTCTCTTTCATTTGTACCTGATGATTGCTTGTTTTGCAACCGAAACGTCGTATGCTTTTATCTAATTTATTATTTTCTCTTTCTACGTGACTTTAACGAAGGAACCAAAGAGATTTTCACGTTATACTTAACTATTTTCAGTGAATGAGATTTTTTTACATCCTCGTAAGAGTAATTATAGTCTCACTTACAAGGTACGAACTCATGAGCCATTGCCACACGGCGACTTATTTCGTAAAAGTCGAGACCCTCCGTGTATTTGGTTTGTGCGGTTACATCTTACTGATGAGCCCCAACTCTCCAGTTGGGAACTGAGTCTTGCGTTACAGCAGTGCATAGCGAACGCTCAAAATAAAGTGCTGTCATCTCCGCTCCTAACAGCTGACATGGTGATGGAACGGTGCCAAGGATAGATGTATAAATATTATCGTTAATATTATTTAGTTCGCATTAGACGCCAGAAAATGCCCGTGAAATGTCACGGTTTTAACTTCAAAATTTCCTTCCCACGATGTGCAAGTTTTCTTCCGTGTCCTACAACAATGCCTCGCCCCCGTGTTTCCCATGGTGCCCTCCCGCATGTCGCTTCGCTCACGTGGGCTGCCCGCAGATCTTCCGCGCGTACCACTGCTTGCAGCTGGAGTAGTACTTCTTGCCGGTGCCTTCGATCTGTTGCACGGCGCACACGTTGGGTCTGTAGGAGAAGGAAAAGGTGCAACCACCATCACTGAGGATTTCCTAATTGACACTCTCGTCCATGACTTAACACCGATAGCACACAATTACGTGACTTAATGCGATCACAAAGACGATTTTAAAAATGTTATATTTTAGGAATTGACGATAAGAACATGTCATATTTGACGTCGAAGATGCAGTCTAAATTCAAGAAATTGGAGTTAACATTCAGATACTATGTGGTAAAACTGATTCAGAGTTTTCTTGTCTTGAATCAATACTGCTGAATGTATGTGCTCCCAGAAGGCCTTGCGGCTATTGGCTTGTGTGAGGAATACTTTTTATTTTTACGTGAAGGGATATTTTATGCTGATCTGTTTTAATATTTATAGTCTCTTCAACGACGCTCATGACTATTTTAAGTTATATTTAATACGAGATGCGAGAATGAGAATTGTTCCCATAGCCTGGCGTGAATTAGATTGCGTTCATCATCGAATAACAGACCACGACTTTAGACGATTCGTGGAAAGTTTAACAATCGTTGGTGATTATAAAGTAGCGAATGAAAGCTATTAACGCGTAGCATTATGCAGTACACAGTATTATAGTTGCCTACAGTTTAAAATACGTAACTATAGTCATTTACATCCCTTTCTCAAGCCACTGTTGGATAGAGGCTTCCCTGACATCGTGGAGGTCATGGAGGCTGTTTGATCATACTTCACCACGATGGTCACTGCGGGTTGGTGAAAGGGGGCGGGCCCAGGACCGGTTCATATATCTCTCGTCACTGATGCTAACCATGGCCGAGATTCGAATACAGGAAGGTGGCAGCATCCACTGGACGCTGGACCAACGCTCTCCACCCAGCCTCCCATTGATGCAACTCAGAATATGCAGATATTTTGTGAAATTAGAAACGTACAATTCGACTGACAAATGTCTTTTCACGGCATATTGTCCTTGATCTCCGATAAGTAAACGGCTTATAACAAGTTTTATATATATTTGTCCAGACGACGCATAAACATACACGCAAAAGTCATTGTTCGCCGTCTGGGAATGCCCGCTGGTTGTGTGAACAAGCTGGCGCCTTCATCCACAAAGTGAGCCCTTGTCAGGGAATGGAACGAACAAAGCTCCGTGACCAAAGGCGTATTGCATCAATAACCTGTCTTATGCGTGTCAAACGTTCTATCATCGTCGGCCGTGGTCTATATACTGCTGGATAAATGTTGCCCCATCAGCGTCAAGTGCCATGATTAATGCGCTGCTGGATGAAGGGTTTCCCATCATTGTCGAAACATGATCTATCCGCTGCAAGATGAAGCTCTCCACTCTATGCCGTCGCCACCCCTCGTGGTATTGCGATTTCACAATTCATCTCACTCCTGCACGTACATTAATTGATCTCCTCTATCCGTTTCGTACACCGGCAAATTGATTTACAAAGACACAGATTTCTCGCATAGCCTACACGGGTTGTTGAAGCAAGTTCTGTTAGTGAGCGACTATGAAAAGGCTGGAACGGCGCATAAGGGGGTGGTGTGGCTAGAATAACGACCGGAAAGATGGAACAATAATGCATTATGGAGGAGGAATGATACAAATGTATAGCAAAAACAAATCCCATATTCTTCAACGTGACTTTACCGAAAGAGCTAAGAATATGAAATCCCATACTCTCACAAACAAGTTTTCAGATGAGCAAGACCTGTGGTCATTTCCACAGTGAAATAATAAAGGTCACCAAGCGTCTTCTTCTCTTTTTACCTGTCCATACATGAAATCCATTCAGTTCAAATATGTGTGAAGATCCCCCATATATCCGTTCATTATTCTGGATAGAATTGTGCCACGTGCAATTACGCGCGTCAATGCTCTCGAGTCGGTGGTGTGACCAGAACCTGGGGTGACGCCTTTGTCACCCCAGCGTTAATGTTGAGGCAGAGTATGTGCATGATGGTCTGCAGGAATCGAACTCAGCCCCTCATCTATTGCCTCACTACACCTCGCTTATAGATTAAAGATCGTTAAAGATTTTTCACAGACTGTAATTCAACTGACGTTTAGCGAGAGCCTATTAAGGTCGGCACGCCGCACAAAAAGGGTGCTGATGTTTAGACACCGCGACAAATACTAATTGAAGGCTGATGCGACCTAGGCGATGCCTAGAACCGCTATTGGTATTCGCCACTGATGTGAGCCGTGTTCACTAATCGAACTCAGCTAGCCAGATTCGAAGGGCTGTGTGCTCAAAACTGCACCACCGCTTCACCCTGCACCCCATAAACACAATGATGCATACAGGCGACACCATGGACACAGGTATGTAGATTAATCCCACTCTCTCACGCACACCGGCCCGCTCTCATGCCAGTATAAGGATCTCATATTTATACTGAGTAAACTTTTGGATCGGCACTTATGTGTGTAAGCGACTTGGACACGCTAACTCACCGACACCTTGACATGTACGCACGTAGGCGAAAAGAGACACGGGCCCATAGGACTCATGCATTGAAGCAAGCACTCACTCAGGCACATGCACACAGCGTTACATAAACATGCATAAAGACATAGACACACACCCAAATAAAAACAACTACTAAACACAACGAAATTCACACAATCCCATACGTACAGACTCACAGACACAAAGATCCCCCGTATAGCCTGAACAGAAAGTGCTGTTAGCGAGCACCTATGAAGGCTGGTATGACACAGGAGGGGATGGGTGAACAAGACCACCCTGGCTACCCTTGCCTCCCCAGTTTTAGATATCGAATCAAATACTTATGTAAGGTTGAGTCAACCAGGATGGGCCAAAGACAGTTTCTGATGCCGTTTGCCACTGATATCCGTAGCCCGGAATCGAAATCTGGTCGCCGGATTCCTGTAACACCGCTCCCTATATTAATACTCCTACACAAAGCCAAAGATCCGCATATAACCTATCCGGTCTATTGGGGAAAGTGCTGTTGGCGAGCACAAATGTTTTATTTCTTAAAGGCCGGTACTATGCAGCAGGGAGTGGTGTGCCCAGCACCATGCATTGGCCCCATTTTCCATGCTGATGTCTTACACCCCAGGCACTAATTAAATGCTGAGTCGACATAGGGAAGAAGCCAAAACCACAGACCCAACAAAGACACAGCCACACACTCGGACGCACGCAGGCACTCACACACACACCGTACCCCTGCTTGTTCCCGCGCACACGGCTGTGGTACAGGTGTTTGTCGAAGGCAGATCCTTCCGAGGGGACGACGGTGACATCGCCCAGCAGCAGCAGCAGGCACACGGCAAGCATCATCATCATCATCATCCTCCCTGGGGACCCCGCACTGGGACCTGGCCGGGTCGGACCCCGGCTTTATGGGAGGCGGGACCCGGGAAGGAGTCGGGGGGGCGGGATGTGGGAGTGGGTGGCTGGCTGGTGTCCGTCACTGCGTAATGCCATCACATGCAGAGACCAAGATATCCCCCGTATAGCTTGCAGATTAGATTGCTGGGGGAAATAACTGTTTAGCCGGCCCAAGTTGGTGTGGATATGATTTTAACACCCACAACGCGCACATGTGCAGCGTGTTCGTTTCCTGGAAGGGTTCCAAATAATTGAATAGCGTTACCATGTGCACATATACAATGTACAGCCCTATAATCTTAGTTCTTTCGGTAAAGTCACGTTGAAGGGAAACAATAAAATAATAAAATATCTATTTTTATATATTTTTTTATTTTATATATATATTTCATTATTTTATTGTTTCCCTTCAACGTGACTTTACCGAAAGAACTAAGAATATGAATTACTGCAGTCACGAAAGCTTTAAATCAAAATGTACAGCCCTCTTTGTCCATTAGCTTAATACGCTGGTGGATGAGGGCATCCCCACGCGTTGGGAGCTGTGGAAAGTTATTTCACCATCTCTCAGTACGTCGGTCAGCGCGAGTTGGTGAAGCGAGCAGCATCGAAGCACAGTACAATAATGAATATCTCTGCACTGCCCCCTGCTGACCAAAACGCAAAAGAACCCCGAAGTTCTACATCATTAGACCTCCTTTGCCAGTACCAAAAATATAATAATAGGGTTTTTCCCCTTTTTTATGGCAACAAAAATTGAAACCTTTTGACAAGGATTCATGTCTGCATTAACCACAATACCTGCAGTCAAAATGCAAACAAAAACATACTATGATAATATGATGATGCATTGTCCTTGAAACTGATTGGTCCACACCAAGGGACGGCTTTCTTTTGAGCCTCGACCCAATTGGTGCTCGACCAGATGACACCAAAATGCATATATTATCATAGTATGTTTTTGTTTGCATTTTGACTGCAGGTATTGTGGTTAATGCAAGCATGAATCCTTGTTAAAAGGTTTCAGATTTGTTGCCAGAAAAAAGGGGGAAACCTCATTTATTATTAAACCCCGAAGTTGCCTATGATGACCAGGCGCGCAAAGGTGCCACTCATCCGAATGATATCCAGGCTGAACCCTACTTAACCTCCGGGATCTGAAGAGATCAGGCGCATTGCGGGTGATTTGGTTATAGGCGTGAGAAATATAGATCCGTCCAAAGGAACAAAACAATATTATCCTACTCGTGAACGGAATGTTGAATAAATGCATTTAGGACAGAGGGGATGTTTTTGAGGTCGTGACAGATTCCATGAAATCAAGTTGTAATCCGGACGTGACTGTAAAAACCACGTATGCATCACAGTGCACAACGCCGGTAGTTCAGTCAAATAATTCCTTTACGGAAAACGGTAAAATTACCGTATGTATTCGAATACAAATAGTTCGAGTTGAGATTTTTCTCGTCATTTTGAATGAGAGCCCAGTGTATCTCATATTATTTTATATGTACAGAGCGCCTTCGCTCACTCAAGGCGCTTGACATAATAGCACACGGTGACAGGATATAATGATTTAAATCAGATTATTTGATCACAATCAGAATCTTGATTTAAACTGGAGGAATCCAATGAGCTATGAAGCTTTTTTTTCACAGATGTCCACCCAGGGCGGGTCGGAAAGTTAGAGATTGAAAGTAACCCGTGCGGAAGGGTTTGGAGGGGAGTGAGAGCAGAGGCAGGGAGACCAAGGAGCATAGCGGTGGATGAACCTGGGTGAAGTTGATCTCTATGAACAGAAATCGGAGTCATTCCCTGTCCATCGATGGATGCAACCGAGCTGTCCGATGTCTTCTGCGCTCTCCAGCACGCACAGTGCACCATCAACCAATCCACAGGAGGCGATTTACTTCATTCATTTATTATGGGAACATGTTTTAATATTCATAGTTCTAGATTTGAAGCTTTCGTGACTGCAAGGATCCATACTGGTCCCTTCACCTGATGAAGGCCGCTTGTGTTGTGGCCGAAACGTCGCGACTTTTGTTGTCTTTTTTTTACCTACGTGACTTTACCGAATAATATTCATAGTCTTGGTTCTTTAATGTTTAGCAAAAAACTAGGGAATATAGATATTTAGACTGACCTTGACCCTCCATAACCTATGAAAATACATATATATTTTTATTGTTTTAGTTCCAAGAAAAGGTTCAAATAAATGTGCGCTAATAATGTCAGCATTATAGTCGCGACCTGCATGTTTACAAGGAGTAAGTGTTTCGAGGATTCGTAAAATTGATTGTTTACGCCAGTGCCTTTTTTTCTCTCCAGATTGTGTCGCTAGGTGGCACACTTCTCACATGATAAAATACAAATATCGGTTACCTTGCGCAACGTAAAACTTCGAGAGTGCTAATAAATGCCAGAGTAAAATAGTTTTAGAAAATTGAGCTGAGATATGGTCAAACTTATAAAGTGGCATATTGTGCCAATGGGTAGCACGGTAAGCTAAAATATGGCTATAATTGGACAAGTGGAGATGAGACGGCTGTAATCATGACTATATTACTGTTTGGGATGGCGACAAAAGTGGTATATAATCGACCAGTTATTGTATTTTTGCTGAACGCTGACATCTATCAACACCTTCGTGGACTGTTAAGAGAGTGAAATTCGCACTCTCAAATCTCAAAATCTGAACAGCGAGCAAAAGCAATTAAGACTTTGTTAGCTGCGCCCCCACGCTGCTCAGAAACATCGCTTGAATCATTCTCGACAGCAGTGAATTTCAACTTTTTTTTTGGCTACTCTACCACTTGGTTGAATTTTGTTTCAAGCGAGAACCCCCTTGCCTGGCCCAACATGGTTCTGAGAAATAAATGTACGAATAATGAACATCAATATTTTAACCAATTGCCCATTTCGTTAGGTGCCCTACACTACTAGTTAACAAGCGAATATAACAACGGGTGCTCTGCATCCACGGCGTAATTTGTTCGAGTTCGCTGGTTACTCTTGGAAACCCACTTTGCTTACGATCAACGAGTTTAGAAATGCCTTTTATATCGTGCCAGGTTACCATACGTATGTAAAATGTTATCGCAGTTATTTTACATTGGCAGATTCATACGTGATTATTCACCAATGACTCTCATGTACGACACAATTTCAGGCATTTATAAATGACCCCTGGCGCATTGCCACGTATTGAACCCCCAAGGGTTGAGAACCGGTGCTTTTATACAGCACCGTAACTACTTCAATTGAAATACACGTATTTAAATACACGTATTTTAACTGTTGCTTGAAAACCAGAGATCATCTAGCTCAATGGGCTTTCACGTGTTTAAAAATACTTGTTCTCACGTCCAACGTAAATAACCCCAGCGCTGTCCTCGAGACAGTCTGGTCCCTTCATCTGATGAAGGCCACTTGTGTTGTGGCCGAAACGTCGTGAATTTTTTATTTTTATTTTGAATTGTTTTATACTTTTACGTGCCTTTACCGTATAGAACCAAAGAGTATGGATCCTTGCAGTCACGAAAGCTTCAAATCTAGAACCCCAGTAAACTTGCGTTGCCATGTGGTTTTGGAACCGTTGGCCCAACGTTGCCCCAACGTTGGCCCAACGTTGGGACGATGATTGTTGAATTCCTGTCAACCCATACGGTTTACCCGTATTCTTGGACAGGGAAATTGAGTTATCGGGTCGATACGGCGTACAGCCGTTTTAATACGGGCAAAACATGTATTTTGTCTTTTTATTTGTGTTTCTACCCTGTGATGGGACTTTGTAGGATGAACGTTGAGATTTATAAGGGGGCACGGGGTGACCAATAAGGTCTGAATTGGTCTGTAATAAGTTAGGGCACTGATAAGGTGTTGACAGATAATTGGTTGTATTATGCATTATCATGACTTGTCTTTCTGTTTTGCGTACGTTATTCTAATAAAGAGGCTACTGAAATGATGTGTACAGTATTTCGTTTTAATTTACAAAGCCATCTTTTAACGTTGATACATGTCTACCTTTAATAACATTTCTTGGTCGTTTGCCAAGGTACAATAATCGTTTTTCGTATGTATAGATTTTTTTAATTCTGACACTAATGATTTTAACTTTTGGTCGCTTTATATTGATTGCGATGTTTATTTGAAGTATTCAAAATACAACGGGCGCATCAGGCTCTGTCGTCATGGTAACGGTTCGCTTCTTTCAGTTTTTTTTCCTATTCAATTTTTAAACCGATACATCTTCTGCCGTATCGCTTTCGTTGCTGTTATTAGTACTACTACAAACAGTTAATGTTATTTGTATGAAGTCGTTTAAAAAAATAAGTTTAAATAGTTTAGCTTCCTGTTGGAGTTTGACGTCACGTCCGGCGTGTCGTCAAGATCACCGTTTGCGCGTGGTTTGCTGTTAACGCGGCCGGCTCCGTTGACACGGAGCAAAAACAAATCCCAAATCTTTTGAGCTTGCAACGTTTATTAATAACCTCTTTAAATTACGTTCCACTTTGCGAAGAGGCATGTCTCAGCAGGGAGCCGCGTTGCAGAACTACAACAACGAGCTCGTGAAATGTACGCGTTTCCGTGTCTTCTATTGTTGGTCATACAGGACTGTAATACGGTAATAACCGTTCGTTGTGTGTCGCCCATATAACATTAACATGGGTTTTTGTTTTGTTTTACAAAATGCAATGGTGTACTGTACAGCTATGCTCACCACCTTCACCAACCCGCATTCATTGACCAGTATGGTCAAACAACGCCGGCAACCAGCACTGTGTGAGGAGTCCCTCATCCAGCAGTTGTTTGACAGTAGACGATTTATCGGTTTAAAACCCTACGGTTTACCCGTATTCTTGTGCAGGGAAATTGAGTTCTCAGGTTCATACGGCATACAGCCGTTTAAATACGGGCAAAACAAAAGTCGCACCCAGGCAATATATCGCGGCTCCTCTTGCCGAATCGCATCATTACGCTCATGGTCTGGAAAATGGAATGCTGTTCGGGGCACTCCGTTTTAAATACGTTTCGTTATTTTACACTGTTGAAAATATATCTCATGGTGGTTGCCAAAGGGGCCCCAACTCTGAGCTTTGGCCACCAGGAGGCACCCCCTGCCCCCACGCTAGTTACAAGACTGAGAGCAAAGCAATCAGAGGGAGAGACCGGGGCGAATGTGTACGTGTGTATATTTTGGATAAATGTCACTGTATATGGTTGTATATGCCTATATATACACACGTCTTTATATCCAAGTGTATCGTGTATACACATGTGTATGGTTATGTGCACGTATTTTTATGTGATTGTATACGTGTGTGTGGTTGTCTCTATTATATGTGCAGATCCGAGAGTGGTGGACCCAGTAATCTGGGTTTGATTTTTGGAAGATACATATCTGAACCGGTTATAAGCCTCCCCTACGTCAACTTGCTCTTAAAGTTGATGGTGCGATATGTGAACATTAACACTGGGGAAACAAAAGTGGTTAGGCATGGTTGTCACATCGCCCGCCTTTTGATGTTTGCTTGCAGGAATTGTCCTTGCAGTCTATAGGCCAAACGTGGGATATACGTATAGCTAGTGTTTGTGCAGCATATCTGAGTGTAGAAGTCTGTGTGTGTATATGTATAAGAATGCATGCACCAATGAGAATTATATTTTGTGCATGTTTATGTTTAAGTGTGTGAAATAAATATATGTAGTGCAAGGTTCTTCAAATTTCAACCCCTGGAAGGCTCTTGTAGTAGCCCACTTGAGCTTTAGCCTGCCGAGACAGAGATACAGATGAATGAAAGAGATAAAAAAGGATACAGGTGGGAGACCTGGAAACAAGGTACAATTTAGTAATCACAAAGACGTTTGAAGTCATAACGGCTATACATGTATGACGTCACTTGGCCCACCAGCACATGCTCATTTTATGACGTAACCTGCTGAAATATATAGTTGAAGAAGCCTGATTATAATGTCACAGATGTTCACTAACAGCACTTTGTGCTGTATTGCCTGTAAGACCTAACGAGGCTCGCTGTCTCTGTGCATGTGGTGTGTGTGTGTGTGCAGGCCTGGAGGAGCTATGCGCACGGCGCGATGTGGCGGCGCGCGAGGTGGCCGAGGCAGAGCGCGAGAAGACAGAGCTGGAGAGGGAGCTGCGCTCCATCTCTGAGCGTCTTGCCCGCACAAATGAAACGCTCGCTGCCCGCACACATACACGCAACCAGTATGAGCGCACTATCGCGCAGACCCAAGCTGCGTACACCAAGGTGAGAGGATACACTCGTACACACAAATGTCGTCGAGACAGTACTCAGAAAGCATATGCAGTTTCCACAACACTGAGACACCACATCATAGTAATTACAACACACAGCACACGCAATACATGAATAAAACCACATACGATAAACTATACATGCATGTAGACAATAAAGTAGAGGCAGACGTTGCCGAATGCGGGGGTTATGTTTCTGAAAAATGCCATATTGGGCAAAACTAGGTTCGACAAATAATTAACTTCCATAGGAAAAATAGGGTTGTGTTCCTGGGTCCAAAATTATCACCCCCACGCTCTTTGTTTAACTAACTACACATAATTTCCACAATTGTTATTGCACTAGAGTGTGCGGAGTTTCTGTACATTTCTTGTGTGTTTGCACAATCGTTATTTTTAAATTTCACCTCAACACAAAAAACCCATCCCCATTACTCTTCCCACACTGCGGCACTCACGTCCAATGCTCACCCCGAACTGCACTTGGGTGTTAATGATCCACCATCTAGTCCATATGAACTAACGTTCTCAACAAGTGGACAGCTAGATGCTTGCGGCAATATGTGAACATTTGCATATTGCCTTTGTGCGCATTGATTGTATTACATTCACACAAAAAATATACGCATGCAAAAACATGTATAGTAAACATTTTATTCTCACAGTTTATTAATTCACACCTTCCAACGGATGCAGCACTTCTCACACAACTTTTCGACAAGGAGATGAAAATCTTTAGTTGCGTCAAACGACGTGTAACCGAAACATGACCTCTGTATCCCGGAAAACAGACCTCATTAGGTCAACCATGCATTGCCAAAACACACATTCGTTAAAACCGTGTTGTGCAAGGTTTTCCTTAAAAAATAATGACAACATGCATAAAAAAAAACTCGCAACATGAATCATTGATCACTGCCTTTGTGTACTTACATATGCTTACCCACACATACAAATATTCACACACATGGACACCCACTACACAATCTGAGATGTGCACAATCCTCATGCCCCCCCCCACTCTCCTTGCCTGCCTGCTTATTCCCAACACTGGCTTCTCCTCCTCTCACCCAACAGATTCTGGAGAGCTCACAAACGCTGCTCACAGTGCTCAAGCAAGAGACGGGTGGCCTGGGCCGCCTGACAGAGCACATGGGCAGCCCCCGCACAGACTGTTGACATGATACAACAACAGTCCCATTTGCCACTAAGTGGCAGTAACATCACCACAGCGCTGTGCCAGGCTAAACATTACACACATACACCTATGCATACGGGCTATGGGTTTCTCTAGGAATGTGTATGTGCTCTTGAATGTATTTTATTTTTGGATTGAGGGACAATATGATTATGGTCATTTGCGTTGGAGTGTGCATGAGTGTGGATGCTAGTGAGCATGTGTGGGAGTTAACACGAGTTAGAATGTGTGTATCTGAAGACGATATGTATAATTATGTCCGTGTGCGGTTTAATAAGTGTGCATTTGTGAATTGTGTTCATTACTTTGCTGTGTTACATGACCTGCATTGCGGGTTCAATTCCTGGCACAACGCAGGTGTTTTCTCAAATCTGATCACTAGGGTTGCCTCGGTATTGCAATACAGTACTACGATATGCGTATGCTATAACATCCACAATCTTATCGTCCGTTTTGCTAAATATATTTCATGTTCATCTTTCATTTTTCTAAATATTGTATTTCCTGACATAACAATCCCAATGATTACAGTTGTAAAAAAAACCTATACAATATTTTCATTGATAAATATCCAGAGTAATAGATGGCATGGCGATTATATGATGTAATTTCCATACTTAATTTGATTAATTTCATTGTTATTCGTGTGACAATATTTGTAATAATTATAATAACTTGTAATGATTAGAACAATTATGGCAGGCTTATGTTGAGTGAACTGCAGTTAAAGTGATCTTCTTTTTTCTAGACCAGCAAAGCACAAAAACAATACAAATGTGAATACAATTGAAGTACAAAGAATATGGGAAACTGATACCGCAATATTTGTAATTTTTGTATTTCGTATTTTGACATGTACCGTGAAAAATGATATGGCAACCCTATTAAATATTCCAAGCTGTCCATAGGTTGATTAGTATGGTCAACACCAACAAGTGCAAGAGACAAAAGGGTAGTGGGATATGTGGTGCTGTTTCCACCATGTGTTTTGGTATGCCGCCCTTAATATGTACTTGCTTTTAACAGTATCTGACGATCTGTCGAGGTTTACAGGAGGAACCCTGCTCATAGGTGTTGTGTGTGATGCTGTCGGGACTATTTAGAACATTTTAAATCCAAAACGTGATTTTAATAACTTCTGTATTTAGCTCTTTGACATACATTTTCCAAAGTTAAAGTGAGATATGAAATGTACATTGTAATAAAGTCTTATATTTGTATTAATAATGTTGTGGCTTGGTTTATTATAAGCCGTTGTTCTTGATTTGCGCCTGCTACCCCTACATGACAGTTTTCCCCGATCGCCTTGATTACTATCGGTTCTGACAGCTGTAATGGTTTCACTTTATTGCTTTCCAATTCAGGTTGAAATCGGAAATGGAATAAATATCCATAGTTTGTGATGCCCTCCAGGTAGCCCTTGAAGCAATCAGAGTCCACTGTGTGCACCACTAAAAAAAAGTAATCTTTGAAACGAATCGTGATTGGGAGGGGGAGTCGTTTATACGCTTGTAGGTCATTCAATTTTGGAACTTGCCATTGTTTTTCACTGTAATTGAGCGCATTTGCACCCCTGCATATTAATGGTTCGCTCCGCTGTGGCCGAGTGCAAGCCGTCCACCCTGGGATGTACCACCTGTATTGTAGGGGGCTGGCGGGGGGGGGAGATTTTTTTAAACTTGGAATCGGCACTTCCCAAACTGGCGCTACGTTTCATTCGTTGAGCCGGTCGGTGGTTGAGCTCAGAGCGAAAGATGTTATACAGCTAAGAGAAAGGAAAGCGTTTAATGAGTACAACTTCAACAGAGCAAGGTTTCCGCTGCTAAAACAAAGTCTCTCTTTACGGTTCGTGAACTCAATAATTGTATTTTTCTACATTTGTATATATTGATGTAATTCCTTTCCGGCTAAAGCCAGTCGAGGGGGGTGGGGTGGAGGTATCTTTCCGTAGGCCGCGTGCAATGTACACTTCTAATTTGCTTATACTTTAAAATTAAAACGTGCAATTTAAGTTATACTTAGAACCGTGTCCGCAGTAGGACACGCGTATCGCATTGTCACGATCTCGCCTTTTTGTTCGCAGTGCCTTTCATTGTCGCTGATAACGAGTTCACAGGCCTTACGCCGGGGAGGTAACCTTGCGATTCTTAGGGTTCGCTGTGTCACGGGGGTCCCCAGCAGCTTCATTGTGAGCGCCTGAGTCTCACAGGAGGCGGCGGCGGGATGGGATGGGGGGGGGTTACCGATCGAATACTTGGGAATAATTATCATTGATCAAGGCTCGCAGGAGGCCAGGCTGAAGCTCTGCCCCACATTGTTAACGCTCAAGTTCTCGGCGAGACAGACTTTTAACACGACGACGGATCCTTAGCGGGGTTTTTTGTTTAGTGTTTCTATTGCTCATTGAACCGGACGAAAGGCAGTGATGCATTGGATTCGTGATGGTTCACTTTTCATACTGAACGCTCATCGATCGAGACTATAAGGCATTCATAGGATGCATAGGGTTAGTATCTGAAGCCCATTAATGCGGACGAAGGCACCGATACCCAGGCTAAGGCTGCCATAGTGTTCTTTGGATTCAGTGTAGTTTTCTAAGGCTTCTGAATACGACGAAGACGCCGTTAGAATACTCTGGGTTCAATTTAATTGTCCAGTCGCTAAACCACACGAGGCACCCTTAAGGTGTTCAGTGTTTAATGTGTGTGTCCGATACATAGGCTTTTTCTTACGTTTCTAAAGTGGCAACATTTTGTAATATTTCTAAGGAGAGACTGGTCTCTAAACCTAGACCCTACTAACTTGTTAGTTCATCATCGAAAGACCCCAGAATATACTTACATCACTAACATGATGGTATGAAGGAAAATAAAAACCACTACAGGTGGCTAATAATACATTCTCGAGATTATACATTTATGTATTTTTATCTTTCTAAAATTTACCAAACATCCCAATGCAGAGACTGAGTGTGGCTTTTCTGGATAAAGGGAATTATCATAGTTATTGGAAGCATTGACCAAGTAAATGTGAAGGACAACTCATGGATCGTTGCAACTCTTTTTACACGCTTTTATTTAACGCACTCTGTTGTTGTATCCTCAGATCTTGTAACTCAATTTTAACCCACTTACCAATGTGGTGTCGACTGCAAACTTGGTATACTTATGTCATACTGATGACAAAACTATATTCTATCATAAAAATATATATATTTTAAACGTTATTTTTTTAGATGTTATGTTTCGGCTTGGGTATAATTGTCCACGGTCCCTTACGTTATGGCAAGCTTCGGGGCCACTTCCTGGAGTCGTGGAGTTCTTCCATTACTAGTACGGTACATTTCATTAAAGCGTGTTTTTTTAAGTTTTTTAAAAAAATATTACTTATTCACTCTCGTGTCACTGCCTATTTTTGCCTCTTCTCTCCACCCTCCATAGGTTGGCTTTTTTGGGTTTCTCCCTCCTACACCCCATACCCCCAGCCCCCGGGCGTGCCAGCGAGAGATGGTGCAGCCCCTGGCAGTGCCAGTCTTGGCTGGGGAGCTGGACCCCCTGTTCGTGCGCGCCCTCGGGTACCTCCGCTCGCGTTCGCGCGACTCGGCCGAGCGACTCCGCACGCTGCTCGATGACGCCCTGACACGCAGCTCGGGAGATCCGGGCACTCGCATCCCCCACAGGGTTAGCAACCCCCCCCCACCCCAACCTTCGAGACTCCCTGCAACTTGCAACATTGTCCAATGTCATCGTCATTGGACTATGAGTCACAGCACTTAATTTTATTTTCTCCGGAAGGACGCGGGGAAATGTGGTGAGCCAGGATCAAAAAAAGTTGCACTGAACTTTTATCACGCCAATCACATGCAATGCATGTTACTTCCTTGCTTATAGAATACTATATGTTCTATTAAACAAAACAATGAATGATAATACACTAGAAGTCATTGCTCTAAAACAAATTATATATTGCGATTGAGGGATAATATACATTTAGATACAGCAAAGTAAGAAAGAGCAACTTCTTACAACTCTGCTGTTAATTAATATAATCAGTATCATGCGTCCACAACACCCATTACCAACACTAACTTAATGCCATGGGTAATATCACATTCTTTATATTATATGCTTCTGACTGACAAAATGAGCGAGTGACTTATGTAAATTCTAGTGATGTTAAAGAAGGTTTCTCTGATATTTGGCACCAAAGACGAGTCTATGTAACTATAAGTATACAATTTAAATTATGAAAGGTGGGTCCCTAGGAATTACAGCCTGGAGGTTGATTGGTTTTACTTGAAAGGCTTGGGTCAAGCCTAACATTGTAAATTGTGTTAAGTCTTGTGCTAAACAATTTGTCTCCCATGGAGTGTGACGATCATGCTTCTAGAAAGTAGGTGACGCCCTTTACTGGCTGTATGGGGGATCTCGGTCTTTTTGTATTGGATTGTGTTCCTATGTAACGTGTACGTTATAAGTGTATTTGTGTATGTGCAAGTGTACGGTTATACACTTATGCACGTGTATGATATGGATGTTTGGTTACGACGTGCAATAAACATGGCACTGGTGCCAAGGTACATTACAGTAATTGATGTCTCCACCGTTGAAAATTTGTTGCATCTGTGCAAAGGTACATGTGCTTTTTGTTTGATGCGAATACAAACTCTATAATGCAGAAGGCCGAGTGTGTATACCGGATTCCCTTCGATTGCGGGCCAAGAGATTGAGTCTGTCATTTGCAGGACCTGGAAGGTGCGGTCAAAGGAAGCAAAGGACACTCGTCCTCCAAGCATCACGAGGGAAAACATGGGTCACGACCGCCCTCGGACAAGAGCAGGAGAGACGGGGACAGGAAGACGGACAGGGTACGACACACATACACAAGACGTACACAAATACATGGGACACACACATGCACCCCACAGGATGCACATACAGAGGACCCACGTGCACAGGATGTATAGTCATTTAATTCTCAAAACCGCAACCTTAAGCTGTTGAAATAATGACTTTATTATTGGGCAAGTCAATCAATGAAGCATTTTTTTTAAATCATGCAATTTGCATATAGTGTTTGCCTTATTAAATAAACAATTTCCACATATAATTCTCCAAATATGTGTTTTAAGTGCAAGAGTTAGTTTTTTTGCACTGAAAGTGATCTTAATTGTTGCCACTTAAGTAAACTTCAAATCTAGATTATGAGTGTTATTCTGGTTAATCTTGAGTGAATCTTTGGAATGACACTAGACCCGAGGTCAAGGTAAGGAAGGATTGATCACGTCATCACTGTGTCACGCTGGACACGCACTGCAGTGAATTCTTAATTTTTAGGAGGCGCGTGCCCTGTGTTCTCCATTTTAAATGCCTACCAATTAATCGATTCGAAAATGTATTATTTTTTAATCCATGAATCATCACCAAGTGAATGGTGTTGGATGCGATTGTACAGGCTAGGCCGGAGGGGCTGGATGTGGCTCATGAGCCCCCCAAGAAGCCGAAGCTGGAGCGAGTGGACAGTGGCCGGAATGGTGCTGGTGGCGGGGGAAACTCCCCTGCGCTGTTGCCCTTGCTGCATGCACCGCAGCAGCCGGCCCCGAGCCGTGTGGCCGACAGCCCGGCACAGGAAGCCCCCATCACCGGAGGCCCCGAGTTGTCTGATGAAACCAACGCCGACGATTTCGCCATGGAGATGGGACTGGCATGCGTTGTGTGCCGGTGAGTGTGAGGGTGTGAGGGCGATTGTGGAGTGTATTATTGTATACGTATGTTTTGTAACAAACTTGTCACGAGTTGGTCAGATGTGTTAATGTGTAGCCCACCAAAGGTATGTGAAAGTCTTGTTTGACCCTTGGAAAGGAAAATATTCCTCACCCCTGTTCAGAGGGTTAAGTAGCGATTTTACACACGTCCTTAGAGTGCGAGTTCATTTATCTGTGTGGTGTGCTTGCGTCTGAGCAGGCAGATGACAGTGAGCCCGGGGAACCAGCTGGTTGAGTGCCAGGACTGCCACGACCTGTATCACCAGGAATGCCACCGCCCAGGCGTTTCCGACAAGGAGGCCACTGACCCCCGCCTTGTATGGTACTGTGCTCGCTGCACCAAGCAGATGAAGAAGATGGTACGAGCACACAGACACCCACACACTCTCACATGGTCACATGCTCTCACGCAGAACAGCGAGGGTGGAGCAACACATCAACAAAAAATGTTGTTGCCGTTTTGACAAATGCATTTAATTACATGATAAGAATCTATTGCAGGTGAAATCTCATTTTAACATTCACACTTTTCACTTTCTATGTAACAATTTTTTATGTAAAAAAAAATCCTGAATTTTTTATGTAAAAAATTGTTACAGAGAAAGTGTATGTACTGTTAACGTGCATGTACTGTTAAAAAAATATGTACCTCTAATGTATATTTTCAGATGCATGTCTCAAAAATCTTCACTAATCGTGTAACGATTTTCCCGCCCCCACAAGTGAACGATCAGTTAATTCGCTTCGGAGTCACGATTCGATTCAGGAGTTTCCTTTTTGGTCGCACGTTTATTATAAAATTTGTATTATTTCTAATTTTTCATTTCTTGACTTGATACAGACTTGTTAACAATGTAATTTCCATATAATATTCCTAACTCATAAATTAGCAATAGTGAGAATTCATCATAATCAATGAATAACAGCTTTGTTACATGCATATTATTCATGTTTATATCTCTGTGTGATGAACCATTCCCAATATTCAGCTCACTGGATTTTAAGAGTGCATGCCGACTGACTCGTACAGATTTGACTGTATGTGAGAACGTGTTGGCATAGCTATCAAGTGTGCAGGCAGTTTAACTGTACTGGAGCCCAAGGGTGGAGGGGCCCAGGCACCAGGGAAGAAATTAAAGACATGGAGCCCCATTTAATTGTTTGCAAGAGCGCCCATGCCCATTATGTCACGCCACTGCGTCCTTGTAACGGATGATGATGGTTGTGTGTAAGGTTATAAGTACACGTGTGCCTGTGTGTGTGCGTGCGGTGGGTGCGTCTGCAGGCCGTGCAGTCCCACAAGCTGCAGAAGGTGGTGGCCAAAGCTTCGATGTCGCTGTCGTCAGCACCGAGCCCCTACGTGACCAAGGAGGCAGCCGTGAAGAAGCCAGAAAACAAGAGCCCATCGGACTTCTCCTTCCAGGCCTTCAAGCGCTCCGAACTCAAGGTGCACTGCCATGAGCTGACCAAATCACCTGTACGGTTGCTTATGTTATATTGTATTGTACTGTGTTTGGGTAATTCCATGGACGTGTTACATTGATTACGGCAAAAACAAGTATACAGATGCATTACAATTAAACAGAAAGGGGCACATCAACTTTTGTTATCTTCAGACTACACACCACTCACTGTAGTTGAATGTCTAAATTGTCAGCTTATATGTTGGTGTGCCACATCTTGTTGTACGAGTGCTCACATTCCATGCTGCCTCACTTGAGTTAACGGAATTTTTCTCGTCAAATTATTCAGGATTTTTTTTGCGACATCTACATGCTCATAATTTTCCTACAGAGAAATCATATATTAACTTAACATGCTCATGGCATTGTTCTTTTTGCGGACCTGTAGATAATGAGGCATAATGTGATATTGCATAGTTTTGGTAAAAAAAAATTGAAATAAGGAAGGCACAATCTAAAATAAAACCTAAAGTCTTATTGTGTTCGAGGTGCATTCCTAGGCATTGTGCCCCAGACTGTCTGACATGAGTATAAAGCTTTGTTAATGAGAACTGACAAATGTTAGGTTTCGAGTTTTTTTATTGTAGAAGAGTTTTTAGTTGTTTGGGATGTGCTGCATTGGGATGTTTGCCCAGTTTAATTATGAACTTTTTAGCATGTAGGAAGAAACCAGAGTACCTGGAGAAGAGGCATGCGCACAAGGGGTAATACAGAAAACTCCGCTCATAGATTCAGGCCGTCGATACATCCAATCTGTTGAACCTGTGGACTAAAGCCATTGCTATAGGGCCTTCTCCTGTTCTGGCCACCTATGAGTCTCAAGCCTGAAATACCTGCATACCTTTGTGGTGTTCCTTGTGAGAAACAAGATTCTTATGTTTCTCTGTGTTACATTTTGACTGAACTTTCGTGACTGCAGGAATTCATATTTGGTTCTTTCGGTAAAGTCACGTCGATAGAAAAAAAATATAAAGTTCATAAAAATAAAATAATAAAAAACAAAACCACTAATGTAGACTGAAGCCTGGTTCTTAATCGGAGTGAGTGTACTGGCAATCTATAATGTAGACTGTAGCCTGGTTATTAAGTTTGGTGAGTGTACTGGTAGTCTATAATGTAGACTGTAGCAATGGTTATTAAGCTGGGTGAGTGTACTGGCAGTCTATAATGTAGACTAGCCTGGTTCTTAACCTCGGTGAGCGTACTGGCAGTTTATAATGTAGACTGGAGCCTGGTTCTTAACCTGAGTGAGTGTACTGGCAGTCTATAATGTAGACTTATTATTGGTTCTTTCAGTAATATAAATAAAATAAATACAATTAAAAACAAAAACCACGACGTTTCGATCGCAACACAAGCGGTCGTCATCAGGAAAAGGGGGGTTAGCCTCTAAAGGCAAACTGTTTATAAAGGTTTAGAGATGGGCGTAGCCAAAGTGTGTCAGCAGCATGGGCGGGGCAGCTAATGTAAATGTAGGAGAAGATAAGCAACTACACCAATCAAAGGGTCGCCAGGCAATCATTGCACCTCGCTCCACACACCCAAACTGCTGACATTGGAGGTTGACAAGAAAACACAAATAAAGTCATGAACGAAAGTGGTTGATGACATCTTTCCAATGATTGCTGAGTTTTTAACCATCCTCTCGGTGGAAATTGTGTCTGTATATATGGATGGCTTGCTCTGTGTTCCCTTGCACTCAGGCTACATCCTCCTCGGCCGTCGCCCCCTTGCAGTCGACTCCAGCCTCCTGCTCCACAGCGTCGGCTGCCGGCCCCACGGGGGCAGGTGGACTCGCGGGGTGGGCCGCCAACTTCAACACCAAAACCTCATCGTCATCCTCAACGTCGTCATCATCGTCGTCATTAACGTTGTCATCGCAGATGCCCTCAGTCTCCTCTTCATCATTTTCCACAGCTGCCCCTCCTGGAGTCCAGGTTACCAAGGCCTCTAAGCTGCCCTCTGTCAAGGTGCTCCTCAAGGCGTCGCCCTCAGCTTCCTCAGTGGGGACAACAACAACAGCAGCAGCAACAGGAGGTGGTAGTGGGCCAGTGTCCCCAGCAGGCCTGATGGCCGTGCCGTCCATTAAATCAAGCAGCAGCAGCCTGGGGAAAACTAGTGCTGGCGGCAACAGCAGCGGTGGCATCAGCATCACCATCAGCACAGCGGGAATGTCCGGTGTTGGAACTGGTAGCATTGGGGCTGGTGCGACAGTGGGGGCAGCTACTGCTACAGTGATTGCAGCGCCGAGTTCGGCAATCACTGCGGGCAGTGGGGGAAGCAGCAGCTCAGGGAATGGTGCAGGGAAGGCGCCGACGTCACAGGAGTCGCAGATGAATGCCCTGCGGAGGCTGCACCTCGTGAAGAAGAAGGCGGCTCAGAAGAAGCTAAAGAAGTGAAAAGATGGCGCTTGGTCGGGTAGCGCGAGAGCTCTACAGTTGGCACTCACACTCCGTTTTGTCTTCCACCATTCATATTATTTTTCCATATAACACTCATTCCCTCATTCTCACCTTCTCAGCCTGGTTTGCTATAACTTTTATGCTCTCTCCTTCAGACATTAAAATCTCTCTAATTTACATTTATATCCTCTCATCTTTCTCATGTTCACTACTACTCTCCTGCATTCGTTTTTGCTCACACTCAACACGATCACTCCCACTAATTTTTCTTTCATATTTCTCTCTGACTCTTTCTGTGCTCAGTCGACTTGACTCACTCTCTTGGCCTCATCCCATGAGCCAACTTTAAACAGAATGTCATTGCGATGGAGGAGAAGAGTACTGTGGGAACTTAGTAAAAAAACTGTTACTTTTTCTCCTGCATAGGAAACTGGGACTCTAAAATGAAATGCAACATCCTCAGGCAATTGCGGCAACTTTTATTGTAATGATAAAACTATATTCGAGTCTGCTAGGATGTATTTTAATATTGGTATTCACCATTGTAAAGTTACCAGTTTGTATGTCTGCCACCTCAGACACCTTTCAACTGAAAAACAAACACCTGGAAAGCTTGAAAGATTATACAAAAGCATTCAGAACGTTTCATTAGACGAGTGACACCCTTTATTTAGCCAGGTGACAACCTGATTACAATAATAACAATTGTGTAAAGAATGTCTCTAGAGACTGTTGGTCATCGGCATTGCAGTCTCCCACTGATAAGTCACCGATAAAGACCCATATAACAGTTGTACTTTAAGGAGCATTGTGACTTAATTAAATGCATAGTTTTTGGTAACGATTCTAACGTGAACTTCCGGCCATCACAACAGTGGCACACTCTTATGGCACAATCTTTACTTTGTCACCAAAATAAGCGATCAAGTATTGTCCTGTGATAAAAAATACAAAAGGGATTGAAATGAAATGCATGTTGATAATATTTACGATTACCAGTCCCAACATTTGTATTTACACCCAGAGGAAGGGCTGACAGGTTGATTTTAGTAGACCATCCTCTTTATAAGCACTCTATACATTTTAAATTTGTGAGTTGGCATCTGGGCACAGGTTAAAGTATTTTTAAAACTCCTACGTTTATCTAGTGACAGCAGAGTGAAATAGCATAGACCTTGCTCCTCCACATCCTTCAAGGGTAATTTATAACAACCACAGGATTGCGTTCCCCTAACCGGGGTCCCAAGCAATCGTATATCTGCTGAAAACATCCTTCCAGGGTCTGCCTTGCCACAACCATGAAAATATGCGTTCTGCCCCCATCGTGAATACACCCTAATAACCGTGTTGGCCATCTTCATGTATTAACTAGACTAGGCTGGGACCGTCACTTTGCCACATGTGAGAATATCGTTTAAACTTTACTCGGAGCCAGACATTTAAGAGTTGCTGGTTGGTGTGCCTGTAGCCTGGTCCAAATCCTGTTTTTTTGTGGATAAGTCTCAGGACCCTGGTTCTGAAACTCAGTCTCATATAGCCAGGTCTCAATGTACACATCCTAATTTATTATTTTAAGATAATTGTCTTTAAACCCATTTTCCTCTGAAATATTGAGTTCCTCTAACCCTATCATGAGTAGTCGAATTGCAAAACAATTAAATGCAAACCTGGCCCGAAAACACTCACCCTGGAACCCTGACCCTAGACATTGATCCTAAGATCTGGCCTTCTGGAGCCCTCGTGTCTGCATGTCTCAGGCTTGAGTGTCAAGGTTGTGTTCGAGCAGTACGGGATAGACTGTGCCAATGTGTGTGCCATGGCGGTGGCATACGAGTTCGAGACGGAATTCATCGAGACGTAGGGGATATCGTGATGAACGCTCCCCATCCCGGCCGCCTCCGCCAGCCAGGAAGCACAGTGTGTAAGTGGCGAGCTCAAATTCGGGGCTGCAGCCGATGAAGGAGCTGCCCGCAGGCTTTACAGCTGCCTTCCAGCTGAACTGCAGGGTGAGCAGGTGGTCGTCCTCATCAGGCTGAGCGGGGGGTGGGCAGCAGAGAGAAAAAACGATAGGGGTAAGAATAGAGTTGTGGTGCGGAAGAAGAAAAGGTCAAGAGGTTATGGCCAATACAATGTAGATGACACCGCTTGGAGTGAGACCAGATTGATAAAAAGTGATGCAGTGATAGAAATGAGGACATACAGATAGATAACGGGGAAACATTTCCTTACAGATGGGCATAGCAGAGGGAGATTTTAAGTGCAGAGTGGACTATAAGATAAGAGGGATCATTGCGACTGAGAGATTAAGCTCGAGCTGGGCTATTATCTAGAGTTAGCGCTGAAAGGTCCAGTGGTAGCACTCGGTGGTGTCGAGAAGTACTCAACTTCGGTCCCCACTTCCCCTCCCCATGGCCTTCCATCATATAAACCATCAGATGCGTGCTGTTTGTCATGAATAACATTTCCATTTAAATAATAAACATGGATCAGGGAGGGTTGCGTGGTCTGCATGGGCTGCGCTCGAGGTCGCCCTGGAGTGTATAGTTCTTATAGCTGGGGTTGTCTGGTCTGGCTCGAGCACCGATTGCTGCGCTATACCAGCATGTTTACGGATTTGTGCCTTGACCTTGTCCTTGTATCTGCGGGCGACGAAGCCTTTGTAGTCGACGTTGCCGCGCTTCTCCTGGAGGTAGAACTGCACCCAGTTGTGGAATCCGAGCAGCTCTCGAGAGCGCCTCGTCTCGCCCACAAACACGTGCTCGAAGCCACTCGAGTCGGCGCTGATACAAGCATAAATAAACAAGTTTGTTGACGGCGATTTTATTCATGTCATTGAAAGTCTGTATCAAGTAGACGGGTATTCTTGGTTCTTTAAAAATATATTTTTATTATCTTATCGTTTCCCTTCTACGTGACTTTACCGAAAGAACCAAGAATATGAATCCCTGCAGTCACGAAAGCTTTAAATCAAAATTTAAGTAGACGGGTGTTTAAATAGGTAGTTATTTTCAGAGAACATTTGTTTGCACTAACATACGCCTGTATCAGCAAGTCACGAACGTGCATATTTCCAGTGGCTATGTCTGTACTGCAGGGCCGTCGAGAGTAGGAGGCAAAGGGGGAAGTCTGCCCCGGGTATCACACGTAGATAGGACCCTGCAACGGGCCTGTTTTCTGGAATTCACTCTCGTGCTTGGGCCGCTATGAACTTCTGGATGGGCCTGTGCCAGATGTTCCAAAATACCCCTTCTAAACTTTCCCGACAATTTAATTGTACGCGCAGTGTGGGTGTGTGGACAGAGTCTAATAAAACATGCCAAAAGGAAAACCACTTGCAGAGATGGGCCGATAACATTAACTCGTGCACAGGGGTAAAACAGGTTGTGATATCACAGGACAGTGCGAGATGGCAACAGTGTAGGGATGCCTTCACGTAGCAGTGAATAGATCATGGTTGATAATGACAAAAATTGCAAAGTTTGAGGACAAGAGTGTGTATAGATGCAGCCCTTGTTCTCAGCCTTGTCCCAATGTTCTCAAGTGTTGCAGTGGAAGAAAAACTGCTCGTGCTGAAAGCTCAGCCGTATAGCACTCGACTTGCATTTGGAAGGTTGTGAGCTTCAATCCCAGTCCGTGATCGACTCGGCGCAACGCCTCTCCAGGCCCAGTACAATTGGTACCAAGTTACGAGACAGATAGCTTCCCACTATAGGCGTTAATGTTCCACCACCTAGCAGTGTAGACTGCCACCGAACGCCTCTTGAGGACAAGACGCTGGGTTCACCAACGAGACGCAATTATGTGTACACAACACGAGAGAGTGGGCAACTTGAGGAGTTGACGTAAAGAAAACGGTTCTCACGTGTGGTAAGCTGATGGTCTCAGCCCACTCGCAAGTGACGACAAAAATCGTGAGATTAAAATAGCTTTTCGACTTAATTTGGCTAAATTCCATCGCTGAGAATATTTAGTTTTTACTGTCATGTGACGAACATCATTTGTTTCGTTGGTGGCCAAGTACTGCCCTCGACTGTGTGGACCACAGATCATTTGAATAGATCACAGGTAGCTCTGGTAAATGCTTACTTAGATCACTCTTAACACAAAGGGTTTGAAATGCTCTGCAAGATATCCAAATGGAAGTAGTATCGCATCACATGACACCAAGAACACAATCGGGATAATACTGGGGAAATTTCCAAAAATAACCAATGGTCATGGCAAAAAAATATTGTAGCTTCAAATTGCACCGCCGATAGTATTGGAATAGGAATATCCCTGTGTTTAGATCCACGCACGTGAGTGTAACATTTTATTTTAATCGGTTAATCCATACATGTCCGCTCACCAGCCTCCACGCGAGTACAGCTCAAACCAGATGCGGTAGAGGTGCTGTTTGAACTTTCCAGGATCCTTGCTCGCCAGGCCTTTGCTCGCCAGGAACTCGTGGGCGATCTACACAAACATTGCATCCGCAAACATTTCCACGTGTTCATACGCTCGACTCTCGTTAAATGAACCCTGTCCCTATTACTCGGACGTTCATACATGATTAATGTTACCATCTCAACCATCTCTCCCACTGGTGACAGCCCAAAACAAGGAGGTGAAGTTGTTCAACTGCGCGTTTCGTTTTGCTCTGTGTTAAAAGGAATGGAAACCACGCTGCGTTACGTTTTAATTTCTGTCAAATCTCGCAGTCAACCTTTGTTCAGCGGGCGGTTGCTTCTCCTCTGCTGCCCTCGTAGCCGAGAACTCCCTTCCCCCCCCCACTCAAGCCATCCCCGCTATTACAATATAAATACACTTTGTATTGTGTATGTTATCCATCAGTGGATTGGTCACGGTTGATGATGAATTTGTGATGTCACATTTTATGGGTAACCCCCAGTCCAGCTAGCTGCCTTGTCCGGCGGGCCTTCCCACCTGCATGACGGCCGTCTGCATGACGGCGTCGAGGAAGCGATGGTTCTCCCGCACTTCTTCGGCCGTCACCGTCTCGGTGGTGCCCGTTTGCTCCTCGTAATTGTCGAGTAATGCGATGAAAGCTGGCAGCGCACGCACACAAAGATAAAGACCCCCCCCCCCCCAATAGCTATACAGCGTCTTGGAGCAAGTGCTATTAATCTAGATTTGAAGTTTTCGTGACTGCAGGGATCCATACTCTTTGGTTCTTTCGAAACGTCGTGATTTAATTTATTTTTTATTTTATACCTACGTGACTTTACCGAAAGAACCAAAGAGTAAGTGCTATTAAGGCAAAATATTAATTAGGGGGGGGCTGGTCGATGTGGAGTGACGTCACGAGCACCTATTAAGGCAAAAGCGGAGCTAAAAGCTTCTCAAGTCGCGTGGGAGGAGGGGAGGGGCGGGCTGTCCAGAAACCTGACAATTAGAAAAAAAACACTTAATGCACGACATAAGGTAGAGAGGCAGCACATGTACTTATTGTCATGGGCTCTCTCACTCTTGTAGGTGTCTCGGCTCTGAAGCGCAGCCTCGTCCACGAAGATGAACAAAGGACGAGCGGCACAGTCCCGTGCAGAGTCGCTCCCTGGGGGAACGTACCCCGCCTTGCCCTGTGAGACACCACACCCCGGCACAGCGCTACAGAACCCAACGAGACCTAACAGCGCTGCAGAACCCAACGTGACCTAACAGCGCTACAGAACCCAACGAGACCTCACAGCGACGCCACTACAGCTTAGAACAAGCAGTGATATACCTTTACAGTCTAGCACATTGATATCAGTCGTATGCGACAAACATACATGCTCACTCTAAAAGGCGCAATGGTTGCTCTATAGTGTAGACCAGTCGTTCCAACCCTTTGTCATGTAACGCCTACCAGACCTATCAACTGTGCGCGTACCTCTACCAGCATATGAGTTTTATAGTTAAAAAATATGAATACATACGTAATTAACACCTGAAACATCAACTTAATGCGTAATAACTAATTACACAACTAAAGCAAAAATGTTATGCAGTATTTCTTAATGTTTGTTTTTTAGTTTGACTTTAAGATTTTCCAGCATCAAAGGAAGAGTCAGGTCAGGTGAAAATGTTTTATAAGTGGGCTTGATGAGAACATCTTGCAGTGGATTGATCATGACTGATGGTGACGATGGTAACCATACATGACTATTAAGAAATGTGTTGTACATTAAATGTGCTGTATGATCTAGCACATATACGCAACGTTGTAATTGATTACAGTGATAACTTGCGTATTCCCATGCGTCCCTATTTATTTACTGGCCTTTTGACCTTCCAAGGACGGGTGTATTGCAGTAAATCTGAAACTTGCAAGCGAAAAACAGACCGCGACGTGATATTCATTGCATTAATGCGTGTGCAATTTGTAAGGGCGCGGTGACACAGACTTATTTCATTGTAAGGTTATAATCCTTTGTTCATCATGACGTCCTTTTTACTTTGATGTCTCAATAGCGTTATGGAGATTGCGTGACGTGAGGGTTCTACCTTTCTAGTGAGGGTTGTAAGTTCATGCCGAGGACGGGGGAGGAGGCGCCTCGCCCCCCCCCCCATGTGGAGTGACGTCAGCCGCTAATTATTATGAATGGGAGGGGGGGTGTCCATTTGGAGGACGTCACCTTATGATTATTAATGAGAGGGGCTGTTTGATTTGGGGTGACGTCACCTGCTCATGATTATTAATGATGAGGGAGGATGCTCCATGTGGAGTGACGTCACCTGCTCATGATTATTAATGAGGGGGGCTGGTCGACGTGGAGTGACGTCACGAGCGTTGCACACACATTCTTGGCTCAGTAGGTAATAATAATAATGGCGGGGGTATCTTGATTTGAAGCTTTCGTAACTGCAGGAATCCATGCTCTTTGCTTCTTTCGGTAAAGTTACGCAACACAAGCGTCTGTCACCTGATGACGGACGCTTGTGTTGCGCCCGAAACGTGATTTATTTTATTTTATACCTATGTGACTTTACCGAAAGAACCAAAGAGAATGGCGGGGGTGTCAATTTGGAGAACGTCATCTGCTCACGAATATTATGGGGGCTGGTCGATGTGGAGCGACGTCACCAGCGTTAAGGACATAAATTCTTGGGTGATTATAGTAGGTATTATCACCTGTGGAGAGATGGCGTAGTGAGTCCCAGGAGTTAAACGGTTCACGTCCGCCTTCCACAGCTCGTTCAGCACCCCCTCCAGCTCGGACAGCTCCACGCGGCTGCAATGCACAAACCCAAACCCCCGACATATCTCCTCAATACACGAGTGCCCTGTACCCAGCAAGCCTTATGACCAGATCTCGTCTGAACTCGCAAGCTAAGCAAATGTGAGCCTGGTTGCCATCGGGTGTGCAGGGCTCCGCCACGTTGCTGGCAGCAGAGAGGAGTGGAGTTAAATCCATTGTTGTCCTATATTATGCGCCTACCAGCCCTGACCAGCGTGATGGAGCACAGTCAAATAACCCAGACGACCCGCACGGCGTCGGGCGACCCTCGTCTTGCAGTGGATTGTCAAAAGGGCTGCGTGATTGTGCGCTGGAAAAGCGAATTCCTCAAAACTCAATTTCAGGCGGGTATTGTATTGAGAAGTGATGTGGTCTGGGACTATATTCTTGGTTCTTTCGGTAAAGTCACGTTGAAGGGAAACAATAAAATAATAAAATATATAAAACAATAAAATTCTCAAGACGTTTCGACTGTAACACAAACACTCATCATCAGGTGTGAAAACCAATGACAAGAAACATTTGAAAGAAGTGGCGGTTTGTATTTTTTTTAAACGTTAGCACCACGGATAGCGATTTGACAGTTTGTTAGATGGACGAGTCTATCTATGTTCGGAAAAGAGGAGGGGGGAGACGAAAAATTAATGTATGCTGTCTGAAAGCCACCGTAAGCGTGAACAATCAAATAAGACCCGAAATGGTTTATCAAATCCTTCCAATGATTGCTAAGTCAGAATCCATCTTCTCGGTTGAAATTGTCTCTGTGTTTTTATTGTTTTATATATTTTATTATTGTATTGTTTCCCTTCAACGTGACTTTACCGAAAGAACCAAGAATATGAATCACTGCAGTCACGAAAGCTTTAAATCAAAATTTGGTCTGGGACTGTTGCTGTTTTACTGCCTTTCCCAAGCTTGGGAATTGAAAAATATTAAATTTATTTCAGGGGCGCCACGGTGGTGTCATGTGATCTTCCTCGCCTGGTATGAAGGAGGTGGGGGTTTTTATCCGAATCCTGACGCCCGCTGTATATTTGGAGTTTGCATGTTCTCACTGTGGTCGCTTGGATTTTTTTCTCCGGGTCCTCCGGTTTTTCCCTCCACATTTCGAAACATGCATTGAAATTATTTAGATTATTTTGCTGCTATACATTTCCACATGATAAGCCACTTTGTTGAACTATCATTTGTGGCCAGGTCGTTTTTGAAAAATAACTTAATACCTCAGTGGACTTTTCCTGGTAAGACAGGGATGGTTTAGTTTCGTTATGTTTTTGGGTGATTTGTTTGCCTTTCCTGTAATTTGCACTACTATCGTGTTTTTGTATTGTTTGTTGTGTAATGCTCTTACCCGCCCCTACTGGAAATCTGTGAAAAAATACTTTATACAGTGAGGGAAAAAAGTATTTGATCCCCTGCTGCTTTTGTACGTTTGCCCACTGACAAAGAAATGATCAGTCTATAATTTTAATGGTAGGTTTATTTGAACAGTGAGAGACATAATAACAAAAAAATCCAGAAAAACGCATGTCAAAAATGTTATAAATTGATTTGCATTTTAATGAGGGAAATAAGTATTTGACCCCCTCTCAATCAGAAAGATTTCTGGCTCCCATGTGTCTTTTATACAGGTAACGAGCTGAGATTAGGAGCACACTCTTAAAGGGAGTGCTCCTAATCTCAGCTTGTTACCTTTATAAAAGACACCTGTCCACAGAAGCAATCAATCAGATTCTAAACTCTGCACCATGGCCAAGACCAAAGAGCTCTCCAAGGATGTCAGGGACAAGATTGTAGACCTACACAAGGCTGGAATGGGCTACAAGACCATTTCCAAGCAGCTTGGTGAGAAGGTGACAACAGTTGGTTCGATTATTCGCAAATGGAAGAAACACAAAAGAACTGTAAATCTCCCTCAGCCTGGGGCTCCATGCAATATCTCACCTCGTGGAGTTGCAATGATCATGAGAACGGTGAGGATTCAGCCCAGAACTACACGGGAGGATCTTGTCAATGATCTCAAGGCAGCTGGGACTATAGTCACCAAGAAAACAATTGGTAACACACTATGCCGTGAAGGACTGAAATCCTGCAGCGCCTGCAAGGTCCCCCTGCTCAAGAAAGCACATATACATGCCCGTCTGAAGTTTGCCAATGAACATCTGAATGATTTAGAGGACAACTGGGTGAAAGTGTTGTGGTCAGATGAGACCAAAATGGAGCTCTTTGTCATCAACTCAACTCGCCGTGTTTGGAGGAGGAGGAATGCTGCCTATGACCCAAAGAAGACCATCCCCACCGTCAAACATGGAGGTGGAAACATTATGCTTTTGGGGTGTTTTTCTGCTAAGGGGACAGGACAACTTCACCGCATCAAAGGGACGATGGACGGGGCCATGTACCGTCACATCTTGGGTGAGAACCTCCTTCCCTCAGCCAGGGCATTGAAAATGGGTCGTGGATGGGTATTCCAGCATGACAATGACCCAAAACATACGGCCAAGGCAACAAAGGAGTGGCTCAAGAAGAAGCACATTAAGGTCCTGAGTGGCCTAGCCAGTTTCCAGACCTTAATCCCATAGACAATCTGTGGAGGGAGCTGAAGGTTCGAGTTGCCAAACGTCAGCCTCGAAACCTTAATGACTTGGAGAAGATCTGCAAAGAGGAGTGGGACAAAATCTCTCCTGAGATGTGTGCAAACCTGGTGGCCAACTACATGAAACGTCTGATATCTGTTATTGCCAACAAGGGTTTTGCCACCAAGCACTAAGTCATGTTTGGTAGAGGGGTCAAATATTTCCCTCACTAAAATGCAAATCAATTTATAACATTTTTTTTCTGGATTTTGTTGTTATTCTGTCTCTCACTGTTCAAATAAACCTACCATTAAAATTATAGACTGATAATTTATTTATCAGTGGGCAAACGTACACAATCAGCAGGGGATCAAATACTTTTTTTCCCTCACTGTAGCTCATAGGATTCGTCCTGTATTAATAAATATTCAGATTCTGAATTAACGAGTGCTTTTTGGGAGGAAACTGGAGTACCCAGAGAAAACCCACACAGATGGATGACGTTCCAAGCTCGAATGTCACCTCGCACTTGCGCGATTTAATTAAGGTAATCAGATAAAAACGAAAATGTTAAATTTATTGCGTGACAACAGAATTTTACCAATGAACGCTGGACCAGTATTTAACCAGGCGCTACCCAGCAGATAATTTGGTTCTATTCGGTAAAGTCACGTAAAAAACGAATAGAACCAAAGAGTATGGATCCTTGAGTCACGAAAGCTTTAAATCTATGTTAAAGTACTTATCGACAACCTACATTATAACGTTCTAGAAGGGATAGAAATATTAAATCTGGCAAAAATGCATTCGAGTATATTATTATAACTAGACCCGCCCGAAAACTAACTACCGGTACATGTATTTAATATTTGGGCTCACTAATATTAGGTTGGAGGTTGATTGGTTTCACTCATAGGTCAGGGTCAACCTAAAGTTATACTTTACTTACGTCTCGTGTTAGACACTTCCAAACGCACGGCACACATCATCAGTAATTGCAGAGATTCGCTTCCAGTTGAGCCGATGAAAAAGTTGGCGAAGCACGTTGCAATTAGCGTAGTGCTTGAAAGTAATCATGATGCCATGCGGGCATTAGCTGCGAATCGAACTCCCACATTGGTTCATTATCAATAATCTAAATAATTCGCTTTCTATCGAGTGTGACGCTACATACAATTGAAAGCGGAGAAGCCCGTTACCAGTTACTAGCGTATCATGAAGTTGACAGGTTGTTGAAAGTTACATCCGTATAATGTATCCTCTGCCGTATAGACACAAACACCACGTGCACACAGATGGGGCGAACTGCACGCATGGCGGCTGCCTGGTCTATTTTAAGTTGTCCACTCTAAATTTGGCATTCGGTCTCCCTGCAGTGCATCCCGGCATAGCCTATGATGGCCTTTGTGGTCCTGTTCTCGGCTCATCGACTCAGCCTTGGCACACCCGGTGATGGCCATTGTGGTCATTTCATTTACTAATCAAAACAGCTCAGTGCGTCGACCGTCATCATCACGCGTGTCGCTCATTAACTTCTTGAGTTGAGGACTGTGACAGAACTAGCGAAGACCAACTCACCTTGACATTGCAGCTAGCGGAGGTGCCAGACACTGTCGCGTGTACATACACTCCTCAACGCCCTCTTGTCTCAAATGTAGCAGTGGATAGAGAATAGCGGACGACGATGATGATGATCTGGAGCAAAAGAAGCTTTATGTGGCACCGCCCCATTTCCCCCGAAGCTCCGCCCCACAAACCGAGCCCAGCCCCCTTCGCCAGACCCCGGCCCACTTCTGTCCCGCCCCTTCCCGAGACCACGCCAAATGAGACAAACAAAAAACACACGTGGCCTGAAAAGGAAAAACAATCGGCGATGTTTCGGGCAATGGCCCTTCAGTCAAACAAAAAACACGTGGCCTTAAAAGTAAAAACAATCGGCGATGTTTCGGGCAATGGCCCTTTAGAGAGATAGAGTGGTTAAGAGTTGTAGACTGCACTTTACACCATATGGTCTGATAAGAATCACATTTTAAAAGTGTGTCCTGATGAACAGTTAGTTTAAACTGGCAAGTGAAGAGTTACCTATTAGTTGTCCATTGAGATACGCTCCTGTCGAGGCCCAGCCTACTTTCAGCTGAAGCCCCGCCCCTGTTCCTGGAGCCTCCCCCCACTCTACTGGAGGATGATTGCGATGATGTTAAAGACCGGGTGACGTCCAGACTTCAGCATTGCCGCATCGGGACAAGTCCAGACGAGCGGCACTCATCCTCAACAAAGCGGCACTAACCGAGGTGCGCGCGTGTGTGTGTGTGTGTATCACCTCTCTCACGACCATCGTCAACATCACCCGTCAACATTACCATCAATATCTTTATAATCATTATCAGGAACAGCGACCAGGCTAGCAATTTTCAGCATCATTATCATGAACATCAGCATTGTTATCACTATCAGCATCATCTATACCTTGAACATCACCCACCATCACTAGCATCATGAAAATCACCAATACCCATCATTTGATCACCACCATTGATATCAACACCGTGAAATCATCATGAAAATTTCAGACGAGTGATGAAAAATCCCCCTAATTATCATGATTACAAATGTTTGTTTTTCATCACCACCATTAGCAGCACACATAAAAACGCCATATCCCTATTCTCATCGCTATCATCATCAAAATAGTCATATCATCAAAACCATCATCGCCACACACTTACTATAATACCAGTTTTGTCCAGTCAAGGAGTTTAGACATGCAAGTGTCTTCTCTATCACAGGGTCCGTTGATGATTGTTGATTTTAAAAGCAGGGACGCGCGGTGTGTTCAAGGGAGCCCACAGGCAGTGGTGATGAGACGTTACGTCCCTCTCAGAGCTCTTCTCTAGTGTTTACCAACACTACAATCATGCCGAACCTCTCGCCACGACTTACCACGCAGCTCACCAACACCAAGGACCACAAGTGTAATATATTTTGGTCACAGTTATCTACAACAACAAAAAATGTTCCATCAAATGCGTAACCAGAGTGGTCCGCCAATGTGTTGGAGCACTGTGGTCTTGGAGCGCGGCGGTGTTGTGTGTTTTGTATGCTTAACTTCTTTCCTACGTAGCCAACCGTGTTAAGCGGGTGTTAGAACGCACGCTGGTGTTAGAACGCGCGCACGCAACGCACGCGTGCCCGAGTTTCCGTGCGCACGTCTTTCTTTATATGCAGTCGAATCCTCCCAAACTACACACTGGAAGTTGCCTTAAATCGCCTGCTTCGTCGTCGGCTTGTTTATAATTGACATTTTGTCCGACGAGACACCGATAGCAGCGCTCTATCAGGCAGGGTTGATGGATCACGAAGAGAACATTTTAGCCACACTAGTCGGGTCCTGGTAACGCGTAATTTTGTCGAGTGAAAATGGTCCCGAATTATGTTTCGCGCTGAAACTGTAATTCATCACGGTGATCGCGACCGATGCCAATTCTAATGGTGTTTTAGGCGGGCCAGATAGCTAACATTGTGCGTAGCGAGTTGAATCTATACTTATCACTGGAGAAATGCAATCGAAAACCAACAATTAAGACCCCGAGGTTGATTGCTTTCACTCATAGGGCAGAGTCAGCATAAAGGTCTACATTGCGTAAAGTCTCGTCGTAAAATAAACTGCACAAACAGACGCTACGCATCATCAGTGAACCTCGTAAATGAAGTAACTTGCCTGCGTTTGACTATCACAATGACTATCACTATCATAATGATAGTCACGTTAACGCACATAGAGAGCGGGCAAAAACACGCTGCTGGCTACTGGCGTAACGGTAAAGATGAAGCCGCGTTCAGATTAGCGGCGACTCGAGCGGGAATCGAACCTTCACGCTCGTGGTGTCCGGCACACTGACGATCCCTTCGTTGAAGGAACGCTGAGTTCGTATAAGCTGATAGTCATTTACAGCCATTCATCAATGTAGTAAATGATGAAAGCTTCCCAATATCACGTCGGTCGTTGGGGTTGTTTGACCATACTTCATCGCGCCGGTCAGTGCGGGTTGGTGAAGGCGGGCGGCGGGGGCGACCGGGAGTTGGGGCAAAATTAATTCATATATCGCTTGCCACTGATGTTAGTCGTGGGTAGGAAGCGAACTCGGGTCTCTGTGTTCATAGTGCAGTGTGCTGACCACTGTGCAACAACAACAACCGCCATTCGCCACTAAGTGGCGGTAACGTCACCACGACGCTTGTGCCAGGCTATGTGCACGTTGAGGCCACGTGAAGTGTCGAACGCCCGCTGGCAGGAGGTCACGGGGCAGACCCAGGTGCCACGGGTCGACTGACTGAGATGACTGCTGGCCGATGCACCACCTGTGCCCCCTACTGTGCCAACCTGATGTGCTTTATCCACCCGGCGCTCTGCTCGTTGTTGTGAGCGTCGCTCCTCCGCCCTCTGTTGTTGTTGGAGGGCGACTGCCTCCAACTCCCCAGTAGCAGCGTCCTTCACGAGCCTCCTCCACAGAGGCCGATCTTGACACCGCTGGTACCAGTCATCGGCAAGTCCACTCAGCTCCACGTCCTCCTGTACCACATCACCCCATCTCTTCTCTAGCCCGTGCCTCCTGTACCACGTCACTCCATCTCTTCTCTAGCCCGTGCCTCCTGTACCACATCACTCCATCTCTTCTCTAGCCCCGTGCCTCCTGTACCACATCACTCCATCTCTTCTCTAGCCCCGTGCCTCCTGTACCACATCACTCCATCTCTTCTCTAGCCCCGTGCCTCCTGTACCACATCACTCCATCTCTTCTCTAGCACGTGCCGCGCCCGTTTAGCCCCCTCGATCCGGCCGAACAAAAGCTGTTTCGGCATGCGGTGGCTGGGCATGCGGGCTACATGACCCAGCCAACACAGCCTTCCCCGCCGGAGGAGCTCACCGATGGGACCTTGTCCAGATCTTTCGAGGATTTGTGAGCTCCTCACACAATCCAGTCTGGTTAAACCCAAGATGGATCGTAGGCAGGCCAGCCTAAATGTCTCTAACCGGCGAAGATATTCCATTAGGGGGGTCCACGTTTCGCAAGAGTAGAGAAAGGAGGGAATGACCGTGGCCGAGAAGACTTGAAGCTTAGTGCGGAGCGACAGACCAGGTAGATACACACAGCGTTACGCAACTCCCTCACAAACAACAAGCTATGAGATTTGTTTTAAATACATAAAATAGACTGCATCGGCCTATGCGCCTTCTTACAGAGGTAACGGTGGTTCATTCCTAAAGATGTTAACGACGTGCTGAGTCATCGATTAATATAAATTATCTTAGCAGGTATGGAATGGTGCTTGTATGATTTTTTAAAAAAAATATGAATATGTTCGTTTACTCAGGAAAGTCTCAGTGAGTCTTCTGACTCTTTGTCAGGAGGTTCCTGCCAAGTTTTTGCAGGAGGAGGGGCTCGATGCTTGCTGTTCATAATCCCAAACAAGTAATTTCAGAAGAATCTATTCTTTGCTTTTGTATATCTCTAAATGTACGTTGGCACGCGTCAGCGTGACTCTTCCAGCCACGAGCGGCCGCTATTCGCGACAACAATGGAAGGGGAAAATAACCACGAAGTAGAACGACCTTGAAACGCGGGGCCCGTGAATCCGTAGACCACCGCGGAGAGGCAATCCACGAGCGCGGTCTGAACGCGTCTCTGTGCCCCACGCCTCGCTGTTCACTTTCGATCTTCTCAGCGCAACCATGAGCGAGGTCTCGTCAGCGCCTTCCTCCTCCGAACAACAACAACAGCAGCAGCAGCAATCGACGGCGGCGGCTGTGAAGCACATCACCGTGTACAAGAACGGCGACGCATACTTCTCGGGCCGGCGCTTCGTGGTGAACGCCAAGCAGGTCGGCTCCTACGAGAACCTGCTGGGGGTTCTCACTCGAGGGCTCGGGGCCAACTTCGGTGCGGTGCGCTCCGTGTTCACGCCCCGCGGCGGACACCGCCTCTCGGCTCTCGGCGAGCTGAGCAGCGGTGGCGAGTACGTGGCGACGGGTACTGAGCGCTTCAAGAAGCTCTCGTGAGTACCCGACTGAGCAGCAGAGACAACTACCAGCGACTCCTACCATGACTACTACTGCTGCTACCATAACTACCACCTACTACTACCACCACTACTACCATGACTACCACCAACTGCTACTACCATTACTACTACTGTTACCATTACTACCACCTACTAGCATAACTACCACCTACTGCTACTACCACCACTACTACCATAACTACCACTTACTACTACTACCATGACTACTACTGCTGTTACCATTACTACCACCTACTACTACTATAACTAGCACCTACTACTACTACCACCACTACTACCATTACTACCACCTACTACTAGCATAACTACCACCTACTACTACTACCACCACTACTACCATAACTACCACCAACTACTACTACCACCTCTACTACCATGACTACCACCAACTGCTTCTACCATTACTACTACTGCTACCATTACTACCATAACTACCACCTACTACTACCACCACTACTAGCATGACTACCACCAACTGCTACTACCATTACTACTACTGCTACCATTACTACCACCACTACTAGCATAACTACCACCAACTGCAACTACCATTACTACTACTGCTACCATTACTACCACCTACTACTACCATAACTACCACCTACTACTACTACCACCACTACTACCATGACTACCACCAACTGCTTCTACCATTACTACTACTGCTACCATTACTACCACCTACTACCATAACTACCACCTACTACTACTACCACCACTATGACCATAACTACCACCAACTGCTACTACCATTACTACTACTGCTACCATTACTACCATAACTACCACCTACTACTACCACCACTACTAGCATAACTACCACCAACTGCTACTACCATTACTACTACTGCTACCATTACTACCATCTACTACCATAACTACCACCTACTACTACCACCACTACTACCATAACTACCACCAACTGCTACTACCATCACTCCGAATACTGCTACCATTACTACCACCTACTACTACCATTACTAGTACCATTACTACCACCACTACGACCATGACTACCACTAACTACTACTACCATCACTACTACTACTGCTACCATTACTGCCACCACTACTACCATAACTACCACCAACTGCTACTACAATCACTCCTACTACTGCTACCATTACTACCACCTACTACTACCATTACTACTACAATTATTACTACCACCACTACTACCATAACTACCACCAACTACTACTACCATCACTACTACTACTGCTACCATTACTGCCACCGTTACTCCAGTCACTCGCTCAACTGTGGTCACACTTCTGGCGCTAATGCGATGGTTCCGGTGTCTGTGTATTTCACCCGTTCATTCCTCCCCTCGTGTTGAGGACTCGATCTATCATCACACGTGACTTGCTGCAAACTCTTACCCTCGTATCCTTGTGAAAATGCAGATAAGAGGAATCATCCACAAATTGCACCTGATTCATCCTCTGATCCACATTCATCGACATTTTACTGCGTGGATCAACGTGAGGATTCGCCAATAGCGCCCCATCAGTGCGGATAAGAGGAGGCATGGCTCCAATTTCCCTTGCAGTGAAGTTGATACAGGTTGCGGAGACGTCTACGCTCTTCTCCACCACCAAATGCTCGTGTGCATTCATAAAGCCACTGCAGCAAAGGCATCTATCCTTGCATGATCTCAGTGCTGGCTCAGCGCTGACCAGCGCCCACGGTGTTTATACAGAGTTCAGTGTTGCCAAGTTATCGATTTTGTTACTAGTTCTAGCGACTTTTTGGATTTACCTATAAACTATATGATGTAAATTCTTGCGACTTTCCGAGACAATGAACTGATGGCAGATTTAGGAGCTATTACAGGTGTGTAATAAGAATCCGGTATCAGTTTACTCTGCGTAGTGCTTGGTTTCGTGGTGTGCGATAAGGGTCCTGTTCACTGTACGTAATACATTTTTCACATTGTCCAGTGACATGATTACAGACATTTAATAAGGATCCTGTGTCAGTTGACACTATGCGTAAAACGCGGTAAATTGTTTGATGACCACAATTCCAGGTGTGTATTCAGGATCTTGCTTCAGTTTATTGTGCGCAGTGCTTGGTACATTTTGAAGTGACATTGTTGACGACTTTAGAAGGTCGATCTAGCAGCATTTGGCAACTTGTTCCTTAGGCAATTTTCCACTTGTGAGAGTTGACAAGACCAGGCTCTAAACAGAGGTAGCAGCACCCACGACGATATTTTATGCCACCCACGCTGCCGGGTTTGTGCGTCACCGTGGAGGTCGTGGTTGTGGTGGTCGCGTTGCCAATGACCCCTTGTCCGGGGTACGCATCTACAGCAGTGTGACTGGAAACGCCGGTTACGCGTTTTGCCCCCCCCACCTCCCCATGCCCCCCTCGTGAATAAGTAATGAAGGAGGAGACACGTGTCAGTGATGGGCCTGGCACGTTCCTTGCTTAGCAACGCGTAAACATATCGAGCCCAGGAGGCGCACAGAAACGTGGAACGGCCCGACACTGGACGCGATCCAACCCGGCTCGTCCCTGTCGGGCTGTTGAGTTTTTTTTCTGTTCAGGTCACGTTTCAGGAGCGATAATAATTACATGCGACCAGCGTCGTGCGCTGGCAGACAACATGGACGTAAATCAAGCGATGGCACAACGGGCAATATTAATGCGGTCCTTGTAAAACATCGTGCTGCACAGCAAGTCCCGCGTCTTTTTGATATGAAATGACACGTCCCCCTGTCTTCGTGAGCTGCGTAGCTCCCACGCTATAACCTTCCTTCATCTCACGCACATTGGCCTCGTTATAAACCCAGGGAGGGAGCACCTTTCCTGGGCAAGAATCTAGGCAATGAGGGGTAGAGAGGGATCTTGAAAGAAAGTGAAAATAATATATTTACGTAATTGTATACTTAAGTCAGTTACTTTGCTCATTGCTTTGAGAGTTTAATATGTGGTTATTGATACTAGGTACAATACAATTTTAATTCATGGCGTTACAAAATGTGGACGCATCTGAAGATGCCGTACGAATAAAGTAACATTGTTCACATTTAAATGCCTCTGTGTTTAGAGGCATTTAAACATTGTTCACATGTTTTTCGTTTTAAAGCAGGGAATAAGGTGGAATTACACGAGCCAAAGAAAGAGTTGAGATGACACGAAGGTAGAAGAGTGAAGACACTTCATAGACAGTTTTGTTTTCTCCAAAGCATTCCATTTGCTTATAATTAACAAAAACAACTATAAATAATCAATACCCACACACACGATTCAATGCACCTATCTTAGACGTAACAATAGATTTTAATCGATGACTCAATGCATCATTACATAGATAGATATATGGCACGAATTTCACGGTTGATGTGATGGCTCGTTTGAGCGTTTCACGGTAAAGGGCTCGCTGAGGTGACTTGAGGATTTCCAGAGCAGGGCTCGGGCACCGGAGATCGGCACGGCTCCGAATCCACTCTTCCAGCTCATGCCATCACTCTAGTTCCCCAGCGCCGCCCTTCTCGCGAGTGAAACTGGATCTGTATCTCAATATCGAGGCCTGGAGGTATCATCCTTTCAGGAGATGATGCCGGGGCCATGTCAAGCCTCGCGTCAATCCTCACGCGAGTGGCGCCCCGCCACGTGCATTATTTATCGGCCATTAGTCACCCACGGCAGTGGATCGTGGAGCTGGGCTGAGAAGGCGGTAAATTCCGCCCCCCCCAAACATTCTTGGGGTTTCCATTCTCAAGTAACTCGTGAATGTGTTTAAATTATTATAGCCATGCAATGATTCACCACCCCCCGCCTCCCCACCCTGCCAAAGCAATACGATTTTCACGATTAATAGATGCGATTCGTTTTGATCGCCTCCTTTATGGTGCTTATTGTGTTTTGTTGTCTGCTTTGTACGATGTACTTTGCTACATTAGCCTAAATGTAATATCAGCTGACCGGCTTCTTCTTGATCTATTCTTCAACCTTCTGCTCATCCTCGCAGCACCGTGAGCAGTGGTAGCCTGTCACCAACGCTCGTCCTCTGTACATGTTCATCATATTGGAGATTTGTTTTGATTATTTATAAGAGTCTGCTTCGACCATTTACATTTGCAGCTTCCTACAGTTACGAATGCAGTTGAGGTGTAATGGTTCGCACACTGGACATTGCTGGTTAGATTTCCCAATATAGCTCTTTAAACAATAGTCAAGTTTCTTACATTCCCCTACCTCTGACCACCCAGCAGTGTAAATAGTAACACCAAAGCCGATGGGCAGGTCGCATAGGGTGGTGTAACATGTAGATATCCCTTCTTCTTCCAAGACCTCGAGCCAGCAAGGAAGGATAGGCCAAATACCCGCTCAAGGAATTCTCTAGAGCTCCTAATAGCGGAGGCCCTTCCATCAGCAGAAGCGTGAGCAAGATTTTGTAGGGCTTCACCTTTACCTTACCAGGAGCCTAAGGGATAAACTCTTGGCCCTAGCGCTTAGACATTGACTCAAGGTTTCTGTCTCAGCGCTCGGACATTGTCGCCTATATGAGCCCCTGAGTGAGAGAGACACCCAGCACCAGGACTCCAACCTCGGTCCTCACAGAGTATGGGCTCTGCTCGTGCTTTGTGAGGACACGGCCATTATAGCACTCGGACAGGTGTCTCGTGTCACATTTCTAAGTGATGCGTGTAAAGATCAAATGACGGGAAAACAATCCGAGATGGCTTTGTGTGCTTAACTACGGCTCTTTGTGTCAGTGTTTGTTTTTAATGAATGACACTGGAAGGGGACCAGTTCCTAATGACTAATTGTGGTCACCTTCAGGATAATTAGTTGAGCAATAATTTTAATTAAAAGAGCCAATCAATGTCTGGACGGTTTGAACAAAGGCTCAACTAAAATGTAAAGATGATCATTACTGAGTGATGCATATTCTAATTATGTTCTAGAAGGGCTCGAAGATCAAGTTTGGCACAAATATAAAGTTATTGCATACAACTAGATGAATATGATAACCCAATATTTAGAATATGAACCCCTGGAGAGTGATGGTTTTAGTTGAGAAGGTTACCAGTTATTCGTAGTTAATACAACGAGGTGCCACTCGGGCTCATAATGGGCATGTCATCAGATAATTGAGTCCGTTTTCTCTAAGGACTTGAATTTGAGGCCTGGGACCGGTGTCTAAAGGTGTGACTTTCAACCCATAGGTGCTCCCTCTAGAGTCTAGACCACTCATCTCTCTTGTGCGTCACTATCCAGTGCTCCCTGTCGACCACAGAACTGGCATCGCTGACATCGTTCATTCAAACATGGATGTCAGCCATACGTGACTAAACTGCGTTTTCAAGTGTAGCAAGCTCACGTTCTCTGCCAGCCTCAAATGACTACACAAAAACATCACTTTCATTTTGTCTTTCAATTAATTTTGCCCATTTCCAGCTCTCAGAATTACAAATATTGGTTTCACTGCCACGAGTGTGTATAAAAGAGTGCATCTGAAGGGAACTCGGGAATTCTGTGATATCTGCCTTCTTTCCACGAGCCGTTCTCTCACACGTGGTAATGCACCACTCTGCGAAAGTTGCGAAGAGACGCTTTGTCTCATGGGATGATGGCAATAGCAAAACTGTCTCAAGACCAGCGATTATCAACTCCAGTCCTCGAAATTTCCCACAGTCCGCCTCTTCATGATTACCAATCGTTTGTATGCAAAATAGGCTCCATCACATTACATGCACCTGATGGTTGGTGATCATGGCAAGCTGCACCGTTGGCGATGGGTCATTAGAACTGGAGTTGAGGGAAAATATACGCCACCCGGTACTACATCAGTGTGGCGTGGTTTGTAAATAGGACCCGTCATGTGGTGTGTGCTTGTGTTGTGCAGGTACAAGCAGAATGGAGCAAAGAAGGAAAACCCTCCTCGGAAGGAGACAAACTCAGAGGAAAAATCCGTATGTGTTTCAAAACACATATTCTGTCTCTTTCTCACCCCAGTGTGATTACAACCGGAAAAGTGCACAAAGGGGTGGTGTGGTCCGCATCATGCCTTGCCACCTTTGTCTCCCCAATACTGATGTTAACTTACAGCATCATGCCTTGCCACCTTTGTCTCCCCAATACTGATGTTCACTTACCGCATCAAGCCTTGCCACCTTTGTCTCCCCAATACTGATGTTAACTTACCGCATCATGCCTTGCCACTGTGTCTCCCCAATACTGATGTTAATTTACCGCATCATGCCTTGCCACTGTGTCTCCCCAATACTGATGTTCACTTACCGCATCATGCCTTGCCACTGTGTCTCCCCAATACTGATGTTAACTTACCGCATCATGCCTTGTCACCTTTGTCTCCCCAATACTGATGTTAACTTACCGCATCATGCCTTGCCACTGTGTCTCCCCAATACTGATGTTCACTTACCGCATCATGCCTTGTCACCTTTGTCTCCCCAATACTGATGTTAACTTACCGCATCATGCCTTGCCACCTTCGTCTCCCCAATACTGATGTTAACTTACCGCATCATGCCTTGCCACCTTTGTCTCCCCAATACTGATGTTAACTTACCGCATCATGCCTTGCCACCTTCGTCTCCCCAATACTGATGTTCACTTACCGCATCAGGTATCCATGTAACGTTCGTCGACCAAGGAAAGTTCCAAGACTAGATATTATAATGCTAACCATTCGTTTTGTTCGTGGCACAAATAAAATTTGGTTCACCGGTGTTGTAGCGCAGTGAGTTAACAAACTGTGCCACTGCTCTCCTAATGCACACACAACACACCCATGCACAGTATGCCATTCGATGCACAATGTGTGAACACCCTATGCTCTACAGTAAGGTGAAATACACTCCCCACACACAGTGCATAACACACGGATGCTCATGAGTGTGTAGATCTAACACAAACCCTGCGCTCGGTGCCTGAGACCCACTGCACACTCCTCAACATTTTGCGGACCCCATAATGATGCCTGAGGGTGGGAGCGGTTTGGTGCAGTGGTTCGCGCAATGATTGTAAATCCTATCAGCTTGTTCTTTACTCTGTCAGGATCTGCCGTCCCAGCCTCGCCGCCACCGCGTCGTCTCCTCGCGCTGGAAGAGGCCGACCGAGGAGCCTATCACCATCTTGTACGGACACCGACTCTGGCTCCAGTTTCATTCCTTAATGTCGATCACGAGCAGAGGTCGTGGGGCCGAGAAAACTCACCCCACACCCAATGACGGCCTGAGTTCAATCGAGCGTTGCCATGATTTGGCATTACAATGATCTACCGACGATATGATTATCGTGATAATTTGTTTTGTTATTTAGTGCTTATCTCGGCTCCTTCATGTTTTTTCTTCATATTTATTAAATAACAAAAGCACAATCATGAAATAACTGTTACCTATTAAATGAGTGCTTTCCAAACATGACTTTGCAATAATCGACAGCATGTTGGATATACGATTTCATCACTGGTGTGGTTTATCCCATTTAATTATTTCTTGTGTTGTTGACATGTACCACCTTGCTCACCTCAATAGCAACTCACTTGATGAGTGACCAGTCTCTTTGTGTGTGAATGTGGGGAGCAGTGGTTCAGCGGTTAATGCGCCGTGCTACGAAACCGGCGACCCGATTTCGATTCCCGCTCACGGAAACACCAGTGACCATTATCTGAACTGGTTTCCTGGCCTCCCCTAGGTCCATCAGCCTCAAATGAGGTGTGATGTGCAAATACTGCCATTAGGGAGACGAAGACGGCCGGGTGTGGTGCTGGCCACCGACTGCCTCGTGTGCCGTGCCAGCCTTCATAGGTGCTCACTAACAGCACTTTCCCCAAAAGTCTGTTTAAGCTATACGGGGGGTGGGGGTGGGGGGGTCTTTCTTTTGTATGTGTGGGGAACCGGAGTGTAGGTGTGAGTTCACTTCACTACAAACATGGTGAACTCGGTTCGATTCGATTCCCGCTCACAGCCAATGCCAGTGATGATTATCTGAACTGGTTCTGGGCCTCCCCATGGTCAATTCGGCCTAAAATGAGTACCTGGTGCAGTGTGTAAACATTGCCACTGGGTAGACATAGGCGGCCAGGCTAATCTTTGTATGTGTATGTGTATGCAGTGTGTTTACTAACGGAGACGCAGTCCGGCCTGCAGTCCGCATACTCCTCACACAGAGGATTCTGGGTAATTGGGAGAATGTGCTCAAGGTCGTGACAGACAGGGTCGACCTACGCACTGGGGCTGCTCGCAGGTATGCACAAATGCACACGCACACGTATACACACACGTATACACACGCACACGTATACACACATGTATACACACACGTATACACACGCACACGTATACACACATGTATACACACACGTATACACACGCACACGTATACACACGTATACACACACGTATACACACGTATACACACATGTATAGAGCCACACACATACACACACGTATACACACATGTATACACACACGTATACACACATGTATAGAGCCACACACATACACACACACACGTATACACATGTATACACACACGTATACACACACGTATAGAGCCACACACATACACACACACACACGTATACACACATGTATAGAGCCACACACATACACACACACACACGTATACACACATGTATAGAGCCACACACATACACACACACACGTATACACACATGTATAGAGCCACACACATACACACACACACGTATACACACATGTATAGAGCCACACACATACACACACACACACGTATACACACATGTATAGAGCCACACACATACACACACACACGTATACACACATGTATAGAGCCACACACACACACACGTATACACACATGTATAGAGCCACACACATACACACACACACGTATACACACATGTATAGAGCCACACACATACACACACACACGTATACACACATGTATAGAGCCACACACATACACACACACACGTATACACACATGTATAGAGCCACACACATACACACACACGTATACACACATGTATAGAGCCACACACATACACACACACACGTATACACACATGTATACAGCCACACACATACACACACACACACGTATACACACATGTATAGAGCCACACACATACACACACACACACGTATACACACATGTATAGAGCCACACACATACACACGTATACACACATGTATACACACATGTATAGAGCCACACACATACACACACACACGTATACACACATGTATACAGCCACACACATACACACACACACGTATACACACATGTATACAGCCACACACATACACACACACACGTATACACACATGTATAGAGCCACACACATACACACACACACACGTATACACACATGTATACAGCCACACACATACACACACACACGTATACACACATGTATAGAGCCACACACATACACACACACACGTATACACACATGTATACAGCCACACACATACACACACACACGTATACACACATGTATAGAGCCACACACACACACACGTATACACACATGTATACAGCCACACACATACACACACACACGTATACACACATGTATAGAGCCACACACATGCACACACACACGTATACACACATGTATAGAGCCACACACATACACACACACACGTATACACACATGTATAGAGCCACACACATACACACACACACGTATACACACATGTATAGAGCCACACACACACACACACACGTATACACACATGTATAGAGCCACACACATACACACACACACGTATACACATGTATAGAGCCACACACATACACACACACACGTATACACACATGTATAGAGCCACACACATACACACACACACGTATACACACATGTATAGAGCCACACACACACACACACGTATACACACATGTATAGAGCCACACACATACACACACACACGTATACACACATGTATAGAGCCACACACATACACACACACACGTATACACACATGTATAGAGCCACACACATACACACACACACGTATACACACATGTATAGAGCCACACACACACACACGTATACACACATGTATAGAGCCACACACATACACACACACACGTATACACACATGTATACAGCCACACACATACACACACACACGTATACACACATGTATACAGCCACACACATACACACACACACGTATACACACATGTATACAGCCACACACATACACACACACACGTATACACACATGTATACAGCCACACACATACACACACACACGTATACACACATGTATAGAGCCACACACATACACACACACACGTATACACACATGTATAGAGCCACACACATACACACACATATGTAAGCACATACATGTAAGCTCACACGACACTGTAGAGTAACTGTGAATATTTATTTTGGAAAGGCAGTAAGTCATAAGCAGAGAAAAAATTAAGGTCTTGAGACTGGACTGCAACAGGTACAGGGAGCCAACAGCACGGATGGATCTGGGAAGGGAGTTCCAAACTTTCGGGGCAGCAGAGGACCACGAGTGACCTGCCACTGAGCAAAAGTTGACTGGGGGCGTCTACTGAAAGTCTTGGTTGCTTGAGTGAGTGGAGCTGGAGTAGAGTGCGATGAGAGGGGAATGGTAGGCATGGACGAGTCCATGTAGGAACTTGAAGATGGTGTGATCTTTAATTGTATCGGAAGCCAGAGGAGCTTTCGGAGTGTTGGGGTGGTATGGTTTATGAGTGTGGGCGCGGAATCTGGAAGCAGCATTCTTTTCCAGTGTTGATCATCAGTGGCGATTGCCCTGGCCTGTGTCCTCTCACCTCCATCCTCTCGGTGCCCCTTAGGCTGTGCACTCTGGACGGCACCGCCGTCATGAGCGGATCTTTCCTGGAGAGTGGCCTCCATTATGTTGCCGTCGGAAAAGAAAAGTTTCGGAATCTTCCCTACGGCGAAGTTCCACACCCAAAATACTTCCCTCAGCCAACGAACGGGTGCGTGGCGAGTGCACATGCATGCACGCACACAAAAACAATGTGTACCCAATACTGCAAGCATATTAAGTGCACTGATTTGGTACCAGAGGGGAATATTTTGGACCTGTAACCACTATGTTTCTATATTTCGCAGGCTCACTCACAGTCAATGCATACAGACTTAGCATTATCAAAGATTTGTATCGTGTAAAGTGTGACCCCACCAAAGATGATAGAAAATTCACTTTGGCCCCCAGTAAGTGAAATGTTCCTCTGCAACACGAGAGTAACTAACTACAGCTGTATGGTAGCTGTAGTCCAGATACATGGTGTTATGTAAATAAAGATCACTAAATAGCATAACCCTTTCGTTAAGGAAACCTGAGATCAATATTTGGGTTTATACAAATAGTAAATTAGATGTGGTCGGGTGACTTAGGGGTCTTGATTAAACTGGGTTTTACATTTATTGAGTTGATGTTGTCAGCTCAGTCAACAAAATAACCTATCAAATAAAATATTGTTTTAACTTAATTTAGGTCAATTCCACTTCTACAAATGTATAATATCAGTTTCATTGCCATGCAGCGATGTTTCATGATACTAATAATAGGTTTTACACTTTCTGGCAATCAAACATGTGATCCTTCTGGCGGTACTCCGGGGTACCAAATAATACAAAATGGCCGAGGCAATTAAATATTTTATTTTTGGGACAGTATTTCTTCCGCAACTGGGGTACCAATCAATCCGACATCGCTGCTACTCCGCGATGTCGAAACGCAGCAAGGACGATTGCGCTGAAACCCTGAACGCTCGTACGCACCACAGTAGTGCATCGTGTACAGCTCGTCGAGATGAGTCGATTGCCGCATCGCCGACCATCAACAGACTAAACATTATTGCATCACGGACATTATGCGTGAGCCGGGTACTATAGTACCCCGGGGTACCGCCATAAGGTTCATGTGTTAAGATGTTTAAACACCAAATAGATCATTTTGCAAGGAATCAAGTCTGCATGAACTACACGTACTTGTGGTGAACATGAAAACAAACATGCTCTGATAATATATGCATTGTCTTTGTCCACTGACTGGCCTACACAAAAAGAAGGCTGTCTCTGGTATAGGCCAATCAGTTTGAAAGACAATACATATATTATAATCAGAGGATGTTTGTTTGTATGTTGACCACAAGTACTGTGTGTGGTTAATGCAGACTTTATTCCTTGCAAAAGGTATCTATTTGGTGTTTAAACATCTTACCACCTGTTTTATTGCTAAAAAGGGTAAAATCTCTTATCATTTTTCATATACAGCGATGTTGTCTGCATCGCAGGATGTATGGAAAAGTGTGACCCATACAAAGTGTGTGAATATGAAAAGTTCACTTGAAGGAACCTCAGGAGCATTTAACTTCTTTAGCATGACCCTCTCTCAGCCACACGGTGCGAAGCACAGCTCTACGATAATACCCAATGGACCCTTCTACTCATGCATGATGACAATAGCACAATTGTATTCTTGGTTCTTTCGGTAAAGTCACGTTTCCGAACATAGATGGACTCGTCCATCTAAACAAACTGTCAAATCGCTATCCGTGGTGCTAACGTTTAAAAATAAATAAATACAACACGCCACTTCTTTCAAATGTTCTTGCCGTTGGTTTTCACACCTGATGATGACTGCTTGTGTTGTAGTCGAAACGTCGTGATAATTTTATTGTTTTATATATATTTTATTATTTTATTGTTTCCCTTCAACGTGACTTTACCGAAAGAACCAAGAATATGAATCACTGCAGTAACGAAAGCTTTAAATAAAAATTTAGCACAATTGTAGTCAAAAGTAATATGAAAAATCAATATTGTTAAAAAGCACTACATGAAGGGTCACAGCAATTCTAATTAATGTCCCCAATTTGGCTGTTGTGAGTTCATTGAGACACCAAGGCCCAATAATTGAACAGGGGCCCTCGAAGCTACTGGCTTAGTGCCCTAAAAACGTTAACATTTTCTATGCCCTGTGACCCTGACTTACTTTTGCGGGAATCTGTTATTTTTGCAGGCCCAAACCTCTTTTCCTGCCTCCAATTAAAAAGAAGCTATCGAGAGTAAGTGGAGTGCACATTTTGAAGCATACACATATTTATACCAATAATTTTTGCTTTGTGTTTAGAGTTGTAACATTGGCAGAGCAGATGAAATGACATTGGCACAGTGAATACAAATTATGATACTGATGGTCTTAATCGTAACAATGAAAATGAGACAGAAAAAAGTTAATTTCTGAATAAAATCATGACCCCAAATCATAAAAATTCATTGAATAGCTGGAGGGGTTGAATTGTTATATACCTAGTAGTGGTGATGATTATGATTTTCCTAATGGTGATATGGATGGAGATGGTGATTATGGAAACGATGATGGTGATGAAGAAGATGCACGTGTGTCTCCCCTTGGCAGACGTCTGGGAGATCTGATTACACCGCTAACTTGAGGGAGACATCCTCCCAGCGGGAGGGAGCTTTCTCTGGTGACGGTGAGAATCCACCCTCTTACTATCACTTCATCGTAATTGCCTGACATCGTTATCATCTGCCTCGGTCTCTCAGGAGGATCGTGAACGTCATGACAAGCTAGTACCATCGTAGGGCATCACCCATAACATATATACTGTATACTTTGAGCAGCTATGACAACTTGGTACAGTATTACAATGGCATAGAGAGACGTCATTGCGTTTAATCAATTAAATAGAGTATTTATAAAATAGATTTTAAGCTTTCGTGACTGCAGGAATCCATACTCTTTGGTTCTTTCGGTAAAGTCACGTGACTTTACCGAAAGAACCAAATTGTGTTGAATGTAAAAAGAGTGGTCTACATCGCACACAATCCAGGGTAGTCATGTGGTCTCTCTCTATGATCTGATTGGAAGGTGCCATCCCTGTTGCCGACTTGGAGGAAGCACCAGTCCAGAAGCAATTTGTCCAAATTTGGATAGCTATGTTTTTTTTTTACAATATTAAATGATGCGGCAACCAGTCGGTGACGAATCCCTAAGCTGAGTGTCCTGAAATTGTCTTTGTGTACCATGCCCTTAATGTTCGTGTCACCAACAATGAGCGTCGTGTGCTGAGGCTTAGGTATATTATTGTCCCTAATCAGAGGCTACTAATGGCCATGTCAAGACTATAAACCATGTAACAACACATGCATTGGTTATCATTGCATAATGAGTGAATAGGTTCCTGGTGGTCGCATTAGTGGTGCGTGGTGGCAAATGCCTGTGATCCTAAGCTCGAGAGAAGAATGTTGGCGAATCACACGGATTTGTGAAACATCCACACTCACTGGCCTACAAGGTATCCAGGAATTGACAGGTCACTCGTGTCATCTCTCTTTCATTTTTTTCTTTAATCTCCCGAATCTGTACCTCTTTATTCATGGTGAGACATATCTCTTGGCGAGCCACGGCTTGGCGGGCCACTACAAGAGCCATGGCAGAACACATCTGCCATGGCTCAAAGACAATGCACTATCAAAGCATTGTCTTTGAGCTGTACGCCTTTTGGCGTCATCTGGTCGAGCACCAATTGGGTCGAGGCTCAAAAGAAAGCCGTTCCTTGGTGTGGACCAATCAGTTTCAAGGACAATGCATATATTATCATAGTATGTTTTTTGTTTGCATTTTGACTGCAGGTATTGTGGTTAATGCAGACATGAATCCTTGTAAAAAGGTTTCAGTTTTGTTGCCAGAAAAAAGGGAAAAACCCTATTCTTATATTTTTGTACTGGCAAAGGAGGTCTAATGATGTAGAGGCTCAAACCTGTTTACATTCTGAGTTCCGACAAGACTACTGCATTCAGGGTGATGAAGTCTTGTAACAATATTCAAGTGAATGTAAATTTTACATGGAATCGCCCATAGACGAATTGTGATTCCTGCAGGAATTGCCCAGTTCAAGTTATGCTAATGGAGTATAGCATTAAGTGCTGTTCTATGACTGTTAGTTATCTTGTGTGGGTGGAGCGGTGGTGCAGTGGGTAACGCACCGCCCTATGAAACCAGTGACCCAAGTAAGATTTGCGGCGAGTGATATCCAAAATGGTTCTGGCTCCCACCCACGCCTTTATCAACCCACACTGAACCAGCGTGGTGAAATATGATCAAACAACCCCTATGGCCGAAAGGTGTGGGGAGAACTCCATCCAGCAGTAGATTGAGAAATAACTTTAAATTATCATGACATTATTTTGAAGCTACACATCTTGTTTGGTGGTTTCTCATTGTCACTGGTGTTGATATGACGATGTTGATGACATGATCATGATGATGATAAGACATATGTCCCTTCTTCAGAAGACAGAAGTGTCTTCCAAGCATCGGAGAGCAGAGAAGATAATAACGACGTTACAGAGGTGTCAGAAGATAAAGACACAAAAGTTGAACTACCTATTGACCAGGTATATATCTAACACAGGTGTAACGATGCATTGGATCATCGATTCATATAAATTATTGAGCTCACAATATATTCATCGAGTTGTGCTTGTAATAACTGATGTTTTTTATTTTTATATTTTTATTAAATGAGTTCACATGACCATGCATGCACTAATGGCTACAATTAAACCATACATTTAGTTGATCGTAACTGAGAGGTGTGGATTTTTATTTTGATCTAGAACTTCTAGAAAGCTGAAATTTGGCACAGGTATAGTCGAGTGTGCTTATGACTGGAACATTTCTGAAAAGCAAAATTATCGAATTTGTTCTAAATTTGAAGCTTTCGTGACTGCAAGGATTCATACTCTTTGGTTTTATTCGGTAAAGTCACGTAGATAAAATAAAACAAAATAAAAGAAAACAATTAAATCACGACGTTTCGGAGGCAACACAAGCTTCCGTCTTCAGGTGGAATAGTCAACGCAGAATATCTGTGTCAGGAGCACAGTTCAGAGACGACCGGGATTATATACAGGTTAAGGGGGGGGGGGAGTCAGTAAGGGGGCATGGGTGAGTGGGAGGGCTGGGTTAAGCAGCCTTTTGATAGACTGCTGCGGGTAACAGCCACTTCGCACTGCACGAGAGTGGGTAAAACCCACCTTTTGTTATGCTGCGTGGGGGGTCGGGGGGAGGAAGAGACATGCTGCATTTTTTTAAAGCGGCGGCAAACGGCTGTTCAATTATAAGGTAGCTAAAGTTTGATATACAACCACTGAGAAAAGGAAATGGCTGTACAAAAAATTGAAAGGCAGCTAACGTTTGACTTGATTTATAACATCTTTCCAGAGATATGTGGATGATACTTTCGTCATTTGGCCACATGGCCTCCCAGCTTTGAACCTTTTCCTAGACCACATCAATTCCAGACACCCTTTCATCAAATTCACCATGGAAGTGGAGAAAGATGGCAAGCTACCATTCTTGGATGTCCTGTTTGAGAGAAGGACTGATGGCTCTTTGGGACATTATGTTTACAGGAAGCCCACCCACACAGACTCCTACTTGAAACCTGATTCCCACCACCACCCGACTCAGAATAATTCTCTCATCAAAACGTTAATCCATAGGGCTCATTGCATTTCTGACAAACACCACCTTACCAGTGAATTAAAACATGTACATCTGGCCCTCAAGATGAACGGTTACTCTGACCGTACCATCCGCCAAGCTGTTTCTCCCACCATACAGAAACAACTACTTGACACTCCGATCAAAATCATTACGTTACCATACATAGCAGGCGTTACTAAAAATATTTCCAAAATTCTAAACAAACAAAAGATCCAGGTCCGGTTCAACACAGTGCACAAAATCCGTGATCTGATCCCGTCAGTAAAGGATGTTATTCCTGACTTACAGTACCCCGGTGTTTACAAATTGAGTTGTACCTGCAGGGACTGCTATATCGGGGAGACGAAGCGACATATCTCTGACCGAATTCGCGAGCACAAATCAGATTTGAAACACGGCAGAATGAATTATTCTGAATGAATTATTCTGCCGTGGCTGATCATTGTTACAACGCTGTGGGTGATCATGATATTGTTTTCTCCGATACCAAGGTGCTCTACAAACCTACCGGTTATTATCAGAGATTTGTCCACGAGGCCATCCAGATTTACAAACACAGACACAACTTCAACCGAGAGGATGGTTTCAAATTGAGCAATCACTGGAAATATGTTATAAATCAAGTCAAACGTAAGCTGCCTTTCATTTTTTTGTACAGCCATTTCCTTTTCTCAGTGGTTGTATATCAAACTTTAGCTACCTCATAATTGAACAGCCGTTTGCCGCCGCTTTAAAAAAATGCAGCATGTCTCTTCCTCCCCCCGACCCCCCACGCAGCATAACAAAAGGTGGGTTTTACCCACTCGTGCAGTGCGAAGTGGTTGTTACCCGCAGCAGTCTATCAAAAGGCTGCTTAACCCAGCCCTCCCACCCACCCACACCCCCTTACTGACTCCTCCCCCCCCCCCTTAACCTGTATATAATCCCGGTCATCTCTGAACTGTGCTCCTGACAGATATTCTGCGTTGACTATTCCACCTGAAGACGGAAGCTTGTGTTGCCTCCGAAACGTCGTGATTTAATTGTTTTCTTTTATTTTGTTTTATTTTATTTACGTGACTTTACCGAATAAAACCAAAGAATATTATCGAATTTGGTCCTCCAAAAATGACAGTTCATAGAAAGCGGCGAAGCCCAGTATGGTTACAAGTAAACATACACTGTGATCCACAAAAACAAAAGTACAGCACCAAGTTAATTGCGGTTCACTGTGGGAGCATGTACTGTTATCAAATGCCTATTAATGCTGGAATGATGTGGCGTGGATGGCAGTAATGGGAGTTTTGCACACTCGTGACTGCCTGTGCCTCCCCAGTGCTTGTGTTCATGAACACTCCGCTTTGCGTTGACAGCTCGTGGCAGAGATTGTGGAAGAGGAGATGGAGGAGGAATGTCATGAGCGACGGAAATCTCCACGTCACCTTGTACGTGGCGCGCTTGCCAGGGGCCGTCATGACTCCCCGCCTAATTCCCCACGTGACTCCCCAAAAGACTGCGCTCGTAACTATCTACGTGACTCCGTACGTGACTCCCCACGTGACAATGCTCGTGCCTCGCCAAATAACCGCACTCATGACTCTCTGAGAAGGGGTCGTCGTGACTCCCCAGATGACTCCCCACGTGACTCCCCACGTGACTCCCCAAATAACCGCAAGCGTGACTCTCCAAGAAGGAACCGTCGTGACTCCCCAGATGACTCCCCACGTGACTCCCCTCGTAACTCCCCACGTAACCGCAAGCGTGACTCTCCGAGAAGGAAACGTCGTGACTCCCAACAGAAGTCTCCACGTAACTCTCCTACTAGGAGCCCACGTGAATATCCACGTGAATCCTCTAGGGTACAGCGTGAGTCTCCATGCAACTCCCCACGTAGCTCCCCACGTGAGCCTGCGCGTGACTCTCCGGGAAGAGGACTATGTGATTCCCCTTCTCGCCCCATCAGCGCCGCTTCTTCCGTGTACTGATGTGTCTTCCTCACTCCGTTCACAATGGCCAACACTGAACTGAATCAACTACAAATCAAAATGTATTGCATAATGGGTTAGTTGTTATGTACCTTGATGATGAATGGGCCGATACTATCCCACTGACTGTAAATGATTCCCTAATGTAATTACAAGTCAGCAGGTGTCTGACACTTGATTCCTGGTTCCTTGCTTTATCACAGTCCCCAAGACAGAGATTCCGAGCCCCGTGACTTCAGCCCAGAGGCGGCAATATAGCTTGGGGTCAATCCTGCTTGAGAGCACTGAGCTGGATTACTGGAGATCCTGGGTTAAAATCTTGGTATAAGCCACCCAAGATTTATCTAGGATCTCAAGTGTAGATAATAGTCTCATCCCAAACACCAATAACTGTACAAAAACACAGATAATTTTTTTTATTCATTTGGCACGAAACATTCCACCACTGAAAACAAATATTTCCATATGAATGCCATGCAATGAATATATTATCCACCACTAGTATATGCATTGAAGGGATCTCATGAGTAGGTCTGTGATGTCCATCTTCTGAAGGCTGTTCTCCTAACACAGGGTGATGTTCCACTGCTGTTTGCTAAAGCTCTGAATAGTTATTCCATCATCTCGTGACAACAATAAAAAATATTTCAACCCAAAATTAAATGGCGCTGGCTCATTGCTCTCACTTGGCCATTGTAAACCCTTGGCCATTGTAAAAGGATGTAACCGCTTAGTGCAGCCATAATGAGCACGTGTCATTATTTGAACCATTGTCATAATTATCAGCCATGATCAATCCACTGCTGAAGCCACATCTTATGATTCTAAGATCCACCTGCTTCATACCCCCCCATCTCAGATGTATTCGATTCCTTGGCTTCCCAGGCCATTATTATTGATAATTGGCGATCATACCTTGTAGCAAAGTGTCCTCCCCAAGACTTTTCTTAACAGTTTTAATTATTAAATTGACCTTCATATGTTTGAGGCATCATTCCATGATTGTGGTATGTCATTTCAGTGTAAACATACCATGAACAAATCTGTTAATTTGTTCCATATGGTCCAGCTTTTTATTTTATTCATCAAAATATTTGTTCTGGATAATAATGCTTTGAGAGGGTGTCCAATATGTCAAGTGATACATACAGAGCAAGCACTTACTCGTTGATGATGTGCATTGTTATACCATCTGGTGTAGGAGCTTTTCCAATTTGTATTACTTATGGGTTCCAAAATTTTAAAAAAACGTGTAATGAAAAAGCCTGCTATTTAAAGAGACATGTCTTAACTAGCTATATATTTATTCATTTACTCTCTGAGATGCAGTGCTACAATATTTACTGTAGTATCGTGGAAACATTTATATTTAAACATTTATCAATGCTGAAAGTTGCAAGCATTTTATGAATAATGGGTGACTGTCAAACTTGTTATTGTTTATGAACACATACTCTTTACGGTCGTGAAGCTCATGACTGCTGCGACTTCTCACACAAAGCCAGATGCTCCAGCCACAGTTATCGGCCATGACAGATCATGGGTCAAAGCAAAAATTGTTGTTAAAAGATGTTGAACATACGTTAGCAAAACTTTAGGAGTACCGATTTATGTAAATATAAATAAGCTCAAGCCTCCCATAAATCACGTGACATATGCGACCATCCCCATACTCCCTCCCTTCTCCACGTCCCGTGTGAGAAGGGACACGTCTGGGCAGTATCCAGGCCATTAGGTAGCCTTTCTTCCCTACCATCTATCCTGACCCTTCTTAGTCGACAATTTACATTAATTTTCCACTTTTTTCTACGTTCCTTTGTCTTCCTTACATAATTCCCTTGGCTCTTGTGGTGTGCTATGGGCAAACGGTTGCGAGTATGGCTGAGTGAATTATTTGATAGGCAATTCATTTCAAATTGTTATCACGTAATTCACTTGTATTTACCACATTAAGAAATTGGAACCACAATATTTGTGTCACCTCAGTACCGACGAGTGACGTATCTGGTCTCAGCTCAAGGACTACGAAAAAACGAATTCCCATTCTTGTTTAGCAGCAGCCGATGATTGGCTGTGGCTTAAAAACATGCAAAGCAATGCATGCTTGCCTTGTAACTAGCACCCTGGCATCCGCGTTGGCAGCACCACCACGGAAGGTGCACAAGGGCCACATCCAGAGTTACCGTGGGTGGAGGTGGCAGTGGCAGTAACCACACACGCTCGGGGCTCGGAAGCAGAGCGAGCGGGAATAATGACAGCGAAGGAGGGTGACCGTGAGACATTCGGCTGTTAAGTGAAAATCCACATTATATACTGCGTTGAGGCATTTTTGGACACACAAAAAAAACAATTAGCAGGGGCTCATCTGCCTGGGTTTAAGGATACACTATCGCCTCTGGTCTCAGCTCCACAATGTTGGTTGTGTATAGATTCACACTCCCAGCGATTCGATGAGTCATTACGATTTGGGTCGTGGTTTGATTGAAGAATTCATTATTGTCCCATTATTACCGTCTCATTTATATCGTTTAATGTTCCGTGTCGTTTGCCCAGTATTGTTAACTCTGTTAGCCTGAATGTAACGTGCGCATATCATTTGCATGATCACACTTATGATTTGATGCATATATTAGTGTAAGAACCGATATTAGTAATGATTTATGCATCATTATACGTCCCAACTGGAGTTTTTTGGTTTGCTGAATGTAGGATCGTAACGTTTCTTTGCTTGCGGTGGATTTTTCCCCTGAAAAAAAAGTGTTTCCGCAAATAAAATATTTAAACCCTCCACAATTGTAAGCACTGTAAAACCCTTTTACGTAAATTCTGTTTAAGTACTGATTGCAATTGAAACTTTTTCATTGTTGGACCACTGCACCAGCATGTGAAGCTGCTGCTCGTTAAAGACCAACCCCAAACAAATGTCTCATTATGCCTCTAGATCTATCGGAACTGTGCAGTACTGTACTGTATACATACCTGTCAACCCCTTATTAGTGCCTACCTCATTACAGACCAATTCAGACCTTATTGGTCACCCCGTGCCCTTATAAGTCTCAACGTTCATCCTACAAAGTCCCATCACAAGGGAGAGACACGTATTGAAACGGCTGTACGCCGTATGGACCTGAACGATCACTTTCTCAGTACAAGAATACGGATAAATCGTATGGGTTGACATGTATAGGCACAACCGCATCCTCCCGAGAGGTCAGGGAGGGGCGAGCGGGGTTAAATCGATCTCTGTTGTACCACCATCACCCGGGGAAGTAAAGTCTGACGATAGTCTACTTTTGCGTGTGGCAAATATGTTCAGGAGATGAATGCCGCTGTCGAGGTCTGTGAGCCATGACCGAGAGGGCTTCGTGAGAGAATTCCGTTTCATTTTTGCCGTTCCTCCGTTGAAGGGGTGCAGACTGCGGTGGTTTTGACGACAGTTTACGGGTGGGAGATGGGAGGTAGCCATCGCGCGGTGGTTCGACCTTTTACGTGTTCTTGTTACCTTAAACACAATACCGTCATCTTGGCGAATTGGACGTCATTCATAAACAAAACCTATAAACATTTTTTTTTACCAGGTAAGAACCGCTGAGCAATATAGCTCATTTTCAGAAGGGACCTGGCCACAAATGACAGCTCACCGAAGTGGCTATTCGCGTGCAAATGTACAGCAGCCAAATACTCTAAACGCACGTTTCTAGATGTGCAGGGAAGAACCGGAGAGACACCGCAAACTCCAGCAGCAGGCGTCAGGGTCGGGATCGCATCCACGACCTCCCTGGTATACCAAGCGAGGTACTTTCTGGTTCTTTCGGTAAAGTCACGTAGATAGAAAAATAATAAAATAAAACACGACGTTTCGATCGCAACACAAGCGGCCGTCTTCAGGTGAGAAAAAAAAAGCAGATAATTTTTTCTCACCTAAAGACGGCCACTTGTGCTGCGACCGAAACGTCGTGTTTTCTTTTTATTATTATTTCTATCTACGTGACTTTACCGAAAGAACCATAGAACATGAATTCCTGCAGTCACGAAAGCTTCAAACCAAGCGAGGTAGTTAACGTCTCGCCACCGTGGCTCCCCGACCTGACGCTGGAGACTCAAGCAGGACACGTGTATGTTAAACTTCTTTCACACCGTAACAGCCGCTTTCTGGCATGCCCTCTCGTCTAATCGCAGCCTAACGCTGAGGATCAGTCGGTGGGGCAAGAGGGGTTCGTCCGACTCAAAGTGACTAAGGGGCCGTCCATAAATGACGTCACGCGATTTTGGACGGTTTTTGACCCCCCCCTCCCACCTCGTCACACGGCGTCACAAAAAGTCAGACGCCCCCTCAAATATGACGTCACAAAGCTCTGCCCCCCCCCCCCCCCCAAAGAAAAATATAAAACATGCTTCAAATCGCTTTAAACTATTGTCATTGTAGTGCGTATTTAATGTGGCGCTGCACTCTGATGTTGTAGGAGAAAACATTTATTAAAAAGTCTATTTAATTAAGTAGAACGTGTTGTCTATATTTATTTTAAGTTGCGCATTTTGATGTGACGTCACATTTCTCACCCCCCCCCCCGTCACATATGATTATTGTTTTTTTTATCCTTTTATCTGGCAACAAACTGACACATTTTTTTTACAAGGAGTCATGTTTGCATTGACCACAATACCTGCAGTCGGAATGCAAACAAAAAACACAACTCTGATAAAGTATGTGGCACTGTCCTTGAAATTGATTGGTCCACACCCGAGACAGCTTTCCTTAAGAGCCTAGTTTATTGCCAGATAAAAGGGTAAAAACAATGATCTTATTTTGCTACTGTCAAAGGAGGTTCCAATGGGGTCAATCGTCACAAATGTCTGACCCCTCCCCCCCTCCAGGTGCGTGACGTCATTTATGGACGGCCCCTAATTCACAGGGCCCCCTCTCGCGCGTTGTCATCACGTTCCATTCGGTGGGCGCGGTGATCGTGAGCGTTTGAATAGCGTTTTGATTCATTAATCGTAACACGTACAACGAGGTGGTCGGGACCGTGACTCGAGTCCCAAGATTAATGGATTTGAGATTAATGGATTCATTTGGGATTAATTTCTCCCAGATAATCGCGTGCGAGTTGGTTAAATTCCGTGGCTATCGTCAACGTCGCAATGTCTTTAAATCCAACTAAGTTTAAAACGGGGTTAATGGGTAGCTCACAAACGGCAGTTATTTTAAGTTAAGATAATAAAGGTGAAAAGGCGTGGAAATGTAATTTCGATTTTTCTTTTTTTGTTTAACGTGAAGCTTCACTCAAGGTCCGGGGCGCGCGCCTCAAAACGCGGGAGAACATTAATCGCAATTATATATCCGAGCTCAAACGTCAACAAAGTCGCCACGATAACGGCCCCGCTTTTATAGCCGATTTAAGTTGATAAGTAAATAATAATAACAACAACAAACCCCGCGCGCACCTTTCGACTCTTGAGAACCGCGAGCTCGGTTCAGTTTTATTTGTTTTGGTATAGCCCTGTGAGCCATTCGGCTCTTGAATCGGGTGCAACCGCAACAAACAAAAACACGAACAAGAAAACATCTTAAAGTGACTTTATGTGACTGTGCAAACAGAAAATCCAGGGGGAAAAAAAACAGCAAAAAATATTCCTGAAAAAAGCACCGTACACCAACCCGCTTTATTTTGTGTTGCGTCATCAATACAAAAGGGGCGGGCCCAGGAGGAGACGGAGGCCATGTTGGGTGGGGAGTCGCGCCGTCCTCGCGAGGGGGTGGAGGTGGGGGGGGTTGGTGGAGGGGGTGGGGTTGATGGAGGGGGAGTTAGTGGAGGGGGCGGGTTGTTGTAGGAGGGGCGGGTTAGCGGAGGGGGGGTTGGTGGAGGGGGTGGGGTTGATGGAGGGGGAGTTAGTGGAGGGGGCGGGTTGTTGTAGGGGGGGAGGGTGGTGGAGGGGCGGGTTAGCGGAGGGGGGGTTGGTGGAGGGGGTGGGGTTGATGGAGGGGGAGTTAGTGGAGGGGGCGGGTGGTTGTAGGGGGGGAGGGTGGTGGAGGGGCGGGTTAGCGGAGGGGGGGTTGGTGGAGGGGGAGTTAGTGGAGGGGGCGGGTTGTTGTAGGAGGGGGGGGTGGAGGGGCGGGTTAGCGGACGGGGGGGATTGGTGGAGGAGGGTGGAGGGGGAGGGGTTGGTGGAGGGGGCGGAGTTGGTGGAGGGGGAGGGGTTGGTTGAGGGGGCGGAGTTGGTGGAGGGGGTTGGTGGAGGGGGCGGAGTTGGTGGAGGGGGTTGGTGGAGGGGGCGGAGTTGGTGGAGGGGGCGGAGTTGGTGGAGGGGGCGGAGTTGGGGGAGGGGGCGGGGTCCGTTGGCGCGTCATGGATAGACGCGGGCGGGGCGCTCCCCCCACCCAACATGGCCGCCGCGTGGAGCTCGCGGGCGCCGGGAGAGCCGGGGCCGCGCGTGTGCACGCGGAGCTGTGGAGGAGGAGGAGGCCGCGGGTCGACACCTTCCCCCCGGTGCTGCTTGGAGGAAGAGAAGGCGGAGGAGGGGCTGAGGGAGGGTGAGAGAGACTGTGTCAGAGGGTCATACCGTGAACGTGCGACAGCGTGAGGGAGTGCGACTGGGTGTGAGGGTTACTCCGTGAGACTGCGAGAGATTGTGTGAGGTGAGACGGCGTGAGGGTGGAGTGTCCCGTGGGCGAGCTCGACTCAGCCTCAAATGTGTCACCTGGTGCGGTGTGTGTAGTAAAACATCGCCGCTGGGGAGACAAAGGCGGTCGGGCGTGGTGCTGGCCACCCACGCCCTCTTGTACCGTGCCGGCCTTTACAGGTGCTCGCTAACAACACTTGCCCCATCAGTCTGTGAAGGCTACACGGGGGATCTTTGTTACCTGTGGGCGAGTGCGAGGGTGGAGAGTTTGTGAGGGTGTGAGAGACTGTGCGAGGTGAGCGGGAGTTGTAGCAGCGAGCGAGCTTCACGACGAACCCGGTAACCAGAGTTCGATGCCCCGATAACGGCCAACGCTAAGTGACAATTTATCTGAACCGGTCCTGGGTCTCCCCAAGGTCTACTCAGCCTCAAAAGGCGGCCGAGCATAGTTTGCATATCAACCACCCCCCTCGTGGTGCCGTAGAAGCTTAGCGACACAGCATCGAGTTGAGAGAGTGAATGTATGAGGGGGTGCGTAAGTGAGCGGGTATGGTCTATTAAACGCTATACTGGAGTTATACACCTTTATAAGAGAGACGATGTGTGCGTGAGTGACCGCGTTATAGCCTGACCCACGATCCCTCCTGGGTTGCTTGCATCGTGTGAGGAGCTCGCAGAGACATCTGACAAAACGAGGCTCCGTTGGCTGGGTCATGTAGCCCGCATGTCCAGCCACACCGCGTGAGCAAAGCAGCCTCTCTATTTGGCCGGAGAGATGTGGGGATTAACGGGCGCGGCACGGCCGACACCAGCGATGAATATCTGAACCAGTCTTGGCCCTCCCCGAGGTCAACTTGGCCGGGTGTAGTCCTGGCCACACCAACCCCCCTCGTACGTCGTTCTGGCCTTCATAGGTGCTCCCTTAACAGTACCCCCCCTCCACCCCAAAGTATGTTCAGGATTTACAGTGGATCTTTGCATATGTGTGAATTCATAGCGCTTGCACAAGCTCTAAGGTTAAGCTGACTATCTTTGTGGGGTTTTTTTACACATTCGAGTGTATATATGTGTTAGGGAGAATGTTTGTGCATGTATTTTACACACGGTATGCAAGTTTGTGTACTTGTCACTGCATGGATGTGTGTGGTGTGTGTACATAATTATATTGACTTGTCTTTATTGACCTGATATGACTTTGTGTTTATCATTCTCCAGACAAGACAGAACGGACATTTCACTAAAACTCAACTTTTTAAATGTTAAGTTAATTACGCAAACGGGAAAATGCAGAACAACATTGGTGAAGCGGAGGTTGAGATTTCTGTGCAAGCATACAGCAAAATGATCCTTCATGCCGCCAAGGTGAATAATCTCCACACTTTTCACTCTGGCCAACATTTTCTGAAAATTTTCTACAGGGAGATGCTATGCCGATTAATTATGTTCATATTTTACTACTACCGTACTTACAGGTTTCTTCAAGTATTTTCATGATAAGCATGTTCTGACAGGCCACGTGATGTCATTTGTCAAACATTCCAGTGTATAGTAAAAATCTGACTACCAATTTTTACCTCTTAACTCCAGGTCTCTCATCTGAAGGTTGTTTATTTCACTCATCTCATTAAACTCCATCTCTTGTCTACAGTTCTCTCACCTCTATCTCTTTCTTCTCATTAATGTTTCTATTTATTTATCAGCAAGCCATATCTATTGCTGAGCTATTGCTTGGGGGGCCACTTCAAAAGCCTTCATATGCCAGATATGGTCACCTTTAGAATATCCAGTACTACTCTGTCATATGCAAATAGTTTCCTAACACTAAATTATGTCTGAAATATTATGCTTGCAATGTTAGTGCTTTGTAGTGACCATTTCCAAGATGCTTTTAAAGTTATTTAAAAGAGAGGAAAACGTTATGATGGTTTAGAATAGTCTTGCTGTGTGGTTCCAAATGCACAGCGTGTGAGCTGGAAACGCTGAACCACGGGTGGTGAATTAATTCTTTAACAAGTGGTGTTTTACATACCATTCCCTCATGTGCTCTGCAGGCCTTAATAAGAACTTGCAAACAGCTCCTGCGCATACCCAAAGCCAGTAACAATTAATCGATTCTATATTACAGTTAGTTATTACACTTAAGATGCAGGCATCAAATAATGCAATAATGTTAATTTACGCATCTTTTGCGAATATGTCATTTAGACTAACGGAGCAAACGAGACTACAATCGAGAGAAAGTATTATATGTACAAACTAAATAAAAATGAATTAACTCTTGAATCAAATTGAGTGGCATGTGTCTGTGTGGTCACAGTACCCGTCGCGCGCCATCAGTGGGCTGCTGCTGGCTGAGCAGAATCCAGGTCGGGGGAGCGGTAGGCGGGGGAGTGAAGCCGGAGGAGGCTCTGGCGATGGTGGTGGAGGTGGCCTGGCCGGGAGTCGACGCGTGCTGCTCACGGACTGCGTGCCGCTGTTTCACCTGGCGCTGCCTCTCGCTCCCATGCTTGAGGTGGCCTTTGCCCAGGTGAGGGCTCTGTTTTTCCATCGGCAATGGAAATGGTGGTGATTAAAACATTGAGGTGATGGTGGTGTTGAAGACCTCACTTGGGGATGTTGCTGATGTTGATTTTTTTTTATTTTGGTTCACAGTTGGACATGTGGGCCAAAGAGAAAGATCTTGTAATCGCTGGTTACTACCAAGCTAACGAGAGCTGCACCGACGTCAGGTGAGAACCCCCCAGCTCAGCTCTGAGGTTGATATTCTATGCAATAGATAGGGTAGCGGTGTTGCAGTGGTTTGTTTATTGTGCTTTGAACCCAACTGAGTTTTGATTCCCAGCCATTGCTAACATCAGTGGCCATTGACATCTGAACTCATCCTGGACAGCCCCGGGTCACCTTTTCACCAAGCCGCACTCACCCCCATGACCGAAGTTTGTAAATAACCACCACGATCCAGACAGCGAGAGGCAGCTCTGGTTCAGAAGTGGATGAACAAAAGGGCTGTACGTTATGCATTAGTGCTGCACTGTATTTGAAGGTGTCACCAATTTATAAATCTACGAGCTTTACTACCCGGCTTCGCCCGGGACTTGGATTCTTGTCTTGGATTAATACACGGCCTACGCGGAGGGTGGGGGGGGATGCGTGACGTCAGCAGGCACACTGCGTGACGCTGCCGCATGCGGGTGACATCACACGTGACGTCACTGCTCACTTGCCGTGCAAGATATATCCATTATTGCGCCCCCCCCCCCAAAAAAAATACAAATGTCTATTTTTATACTTTTTGCATTGTGTACAGTCTAGAACAGTGGTTCTTAACCTGGGTTCGATCGAACCCCAGGGGTTCGGTGAGTCGATCTCAGGGGTTCGGCAGAGCCCCCGCCACGGAGGTCCGGACACACTTGAATTATTGTGTAAATTTGTGATGACACACACGGCCCGCTTGGCCATCACTGGCTGCAGATGATCATGCTACACTGCTTGGCCAATCAGCGCTGCGGGGAATTTAGTGCATACTCAGTAGTCAACGTGTGACTGTTGTTGTCGTACGTCGTGTGATTTCTTTAATATTTTATCCATACTAACTATGTCGGGCAAAAGAAGAAAGTGGTCGGACGAATATGTACAACATGGATTCTCATGTATCACGGAACGTGATGGGAGTGAGCGTCCTATCTGCATGATTTGCAACGCCAAGTTGAGCAACTCTAGTCTTGCACCGGCAAAACTAAAGGAACACTTCTTGAAGCTGCATGGAGACGGGGAATACAAGAACACAACACTTGCTGAATTCAGGGTGAAGAGAGCCAGATTCGATGAAAGGGCCACTCTGCCTGCTCTTGGATTTGTACCTGTTAACAAACCGATCCTGACAGCATCGTACGAAGTTGCTTACCTGATCGCAAAGCAGGGCAAGCCACACACCATTGGTGAAACACTTGTGAAACCAGCTGCATTAAATATGGCGAATCTGATACTCGGAACAGCGGCCGAAGGTAAATTATCCCAAATTCCCCTTTCAAATGACACCGTCAGTGACAGAATAGAAGACATGAGTAAAGACATCTTGGCTCAAGTAGTCGCGGATCTGATTTCAAGCCCGGCAAAATTCAGCCTTCAACTCGACGAAACCACAGACGTTTCTGATCTAAGCCAGCTTGCTGTTTTTGTACGCTATGTGAAAGACATGATAAAAGAAGAGTTTTTATTTTGTAAGCCTCTTACAACAACGAAGGCAGCCGATGTGAAGAAGCTTGTGGATGACTTCTTCAGAGACAACAATCTTTCATGGGATATGGTTTCTGCAGTTTGTACGGACGGAGCTCCAGTCATGCTGGGAAGAAAGTCTGGTTTTGGTGCGCTAGTAAAGGCCGATGCACCACACATCATTGTGAAGCATTGTATTCTGCACAGGCATGCGTTGGCAACAAAAACCTTACCTCCAAAAATGGCAGAAGTATTAAAAACTGTGGTGGAATGTGTGAACTATGTGCGAAAAAGTGCTCTGAGGCACCGCATCTTCAGTGAGCTGTGTAAAGAAATGGGCTCTGAATTTGAGGTACTTCTGCTCCATTCTAATATTCGGTGGTTATCCCGGGGACAGGTGCTGAATCGTGCTTTTGCCATGCGTGTGGAATTAGCCCTGTTTTTGCAAGAGCACCAACACTGCCATGCAGATTGCTTCAAAAATCCTGAGTTCATTCTCATTTTAGCGTACATGGCTGATATATTCGCAGCTCTCAATCATCTCAATCAGCAGATGCAGGGTGGTGGAGTCAATATCATGGAAGCGGAAGAACACCTGAAGGCTTTTCAAAAAAAGCTACCGTCATGGAAACGACGAACAGAGAACAATAACTTCGCAAACTTCCCGCTTCTGGACGACTGTGCAAGTAAGATCGAAGATGTGTCTGGAATCGGAGATATTTCTGTATCCACGGAACTGAAGCAAACAATTGCCACACACTTAGATGAGCTTGCAAAGTCTCTCGACGGATATTTCCCTACAAGAGAGTCATATCCAGCATGGGTGAGACAGCCGTTCACGTTTGCTGTTGAAACAGCAGATGTCAATGATGAATTCCTCGACAAATCATTGAAATTCAGCAGAGCCAGGTTCAACAGCAACTCTTCAGAACAACAACGCTCTCAACGTTTTGGTGTCGACAAATGAACAAGTATCCAGTTATTGCTAAGAAAGCCCTGGATTTTTTTATACCATTTGTTACAACATATCTTTGTGAGCAATCCTTTTCGAGGATGCTGGACATAAAAACGAAGAAAAGGAACAGACTTTGCTGTGAAAATGACATGAGAGTGGCACTTGCCAAGGTGAAGCCACGCATATCTGAACTGATCTCTCAAAGGCAACAGCAGAAGTCACATTGATTTCCAGGTATGTAATTTGTTGTGAGTTTATGCATTGTGTTGGTTTTATTCTTTAAACAAGGTAATGTTCATGCACGGCTCATTTTGTGTACCAGTAAAAAACATATCTATGTCTTGAATTTGAAAAAAAATCACATTTTATTTTTCACTAAAGAGGGGTTCGGTGAATGCGCATATGAAACTGGTGGGGTTCGGTACCTCCAACAAGGTTAAGAACCACTGGTCTAGAAGCTACCCACATGCCAAAAATTTCAAGTTTGTTGCATGTCGGCAAGTATGCTAAACATTTCGAACAGACACACATTCACAAATTTCCCTTTATATATAGATATGCAGGTGAGAACACGATCACTATCACCCAAGCCTCATTTGCGAATACTGGTGGATTGATGTCTCGATACATCGCTCAGAATCTTTCCTTAGTTTGTGATACATGCATCGAATAGCATGTGTAATATTTTTTCTTCTTTGTATCATATATGCTGTGTCTAATAGGTTTGTCACTCCTGCGGCCACAAGAGGCATTACCATCCATCACAATGTTAACAGATGGACTGAGCTTTAAATTGAATTGGGATCCTGAATCGCAGTAATTAATGGAATCTAATAATATCCATCTGTGTGTATATTTGTTGTTCTCCCTGTCTGCCTCTATATCAGCCCTAACCAGGTCGCATACAAAATCTCTGACCTCATATCGGAGAATTATAGTGATGCCGTTTTAATCATGGTGAGAGGAATTTTTTCTTTTACACACAGGCTCATACTCTCACATACAGTTACATTCACAGTAGCCTACCATTTCGCTTTATGTCAATGAGCATCTCTTAAGATCAGGATGATGTGACCAGCAGCATATACAGGACCATCTTTGTTTCTGCAATGCATATGTTAACCCACCACAGCAGATACTGTGTTTTGGCTGAGTCAACCTAAGGCGATATTCATCTCATTAACAGCATCATTTAATAAAGCTAAAACGTCAACGAGATGACAAAGATGATACAAATGAGATATAAAGGTTATTTATTTGAATGAGGACCCAAAATCATGAATATGAATAAAATAATTGGGGAGTCGAATTTAAGTCATAAAATAACTTGGGAATTGAACATGCCGAGTATGCACGTAATATGTGATATTTTGCACAATTGTGCAAGCCATTGCCTGCTTCAGTGTTTAATAAATCGGTATAGGTACAATACAGTATATTCCTACAGTGCATGGGTATGTATGCTTACTCTTTGGTTCTTTCGGTATGCTTGTGATATTGTATGAGTTAAAAGTTGATAGATGTCATGACCGATATCTTTGTGTGCAGATTGAAAATCGTCGAATGAGCCGCGACTGTGCCACGTCGGCACTGCACGTGTACAACAACTCGGGTGGACAGTGGCAAACCAAGCAGCCAGGCCTGTGCGTGACAACTCTCAGCTCTACAACACTGCCCATATTCCATTTGTGCATCTCATTCATCTCACCTCGGACATCTCATAGCCCCAGCTTCTACTTCATACAACCCACATGCCACCTCCCACATTGCACATCATATGACCCATGTCCCACATTCCACATCTCACGTTATATCTATCAACTTCCACCTCACACGTCTCACAATCCCAGCTCTCACCTCATACATACCACTTCCTACCTCCCACGCCCCACATCTCATCTATATTTGCAAAAAAATGGATCGTCAGCATTATTACACTTGCTGTACTGTTGCCTATGGGCACCAAAGCATACTATTGTTTTCATGATTATTCTCTTTTCACTCCATGTCCCCTACTTCCTGTATCACCTTTGTCTCCTGCGTTAATTTGTACTCAATGTGTCTCATCTCTCTGTGCTCCCCCCATCACCATGCTCTCCATACACAGCGTGTGTCTGGAGCCCGATTGCCTGGCTGTGGCGTCGGGGCTGCTGATACAGAGAGCGCACGTGCAGCTCATGGATTTTGACAACCACCTGGACAACCCAACCCTCGACTGGGCAAACCCAGTACTCAACCGCCTCATCCTCGACTCTTGCTGACCAGAGTTAACCTGACTTGTCCCTAAACCTTCGCTTCCTCTAATCCAATTAATCAACCCAAACCTGACCCACACTGGACAGTTGTTGGTCTGACCTAACTCGACCTTCAACAACCTGAACGTGAACTCTTCATGAACTGATCTGACCTCACTCACAACCACCTCTTCCTACATTCCCGCTGACTGTACAAGATACAACCTGTAGGCATCTAACAATTTTTTCCCCATCACGATCGTGGTCCTGATGCCGTTAAAGACTCCGTTATTCTTTTCAAAACATATGTTTGCGGTAAATGTAGCACTTTGTATGGCTGCAGGAATTACACGAACCCATTACATACAACATCCACCAATTGTAAAAACTATTGTTTGTTACACGCATGATTCGGTGCATGTAGCTATAGAGTAAGAATTGATTTTATTTTAGGAATTGACACATTGTCACATGCTGAATGACCTGGCCCACATCAGGAGGGTACCAACGCCTCTGGTCTGAAGTGTCCTGACATGATGACCCCTCATCCCTGGTCCATGATGGATCCCAAACTGGCTTGATGACATGAACAATTGTGACTATAATAGTTATTTTTTTGTTAGAGCGCGTAAATATAAATGTCTTATTGAACCCGCCACCACCCGAAACAGCCTATTAGTAAGGTTTGTCACGGAAACAGAACATGCCAATTCGTTGGTAGCACAGCACACCGGTGTGTTGGGGAGCAAATGTTGTGGGTTTGTGAATTTATTCTCCAACACACTGGTGTGTTGTACTAGTAACGAATTGGCATGTTCTGTTTATGTGACAAACCTTACTAGTTGGCTGTCGGGTGGTGGCGGGTTTAACGACACATTTATATTTACGCGATCTAACCATAAAAACCCTATATTATGGATGATATTGGTCGCGAAAGCCCTCCTTGTTAAATTGTGACCATTTGCCATCTAACCTGGGTGGAACTGCCTGTCCAAAAGACTGAACAGTTCTAATCTCATTGACAGTGGTGACAATAAAGATGATTGTGATTGGGCATGTAATGTGTTGCTGCCTCTGGTAAATTGAACTGCCACGATTTTGGTTATGAGTCGATCAAAGAGTTGATTATTTTGTATTAATGTTAATTCTCTTTAGCCACTGCCCTGTTTGTACTGTATGTGCCCTTCTGTCTTTTTCATACTAATTTCTGCCATCTGACTCCATTGTTCTGTCTGTCTCAATATCGCTTCTCCTTAGTGTACATGAGCATACAACTGCGTAAAAATTGCATAAAGCGTAAATATTCAATGCACAAATTTGATTCGGTCCTTGCATCATGAGCAACATAATCAGTTTTAATCAATGCATATTTACGTGCCTAATTGTGGTTTTAATTGAGATCTTTACAAGGGACCTCAGTCATCTAGGCAGATTATTATGTCATTAATATCTTTAGGTTGATCGAATTGTTTTATAATTTAGTGCTAACTTGGGTGATAATTTGATGTTTTCTTTGATTTAGTTAGTGTATGTGTTTTATTTAAGCCAGTGAGAGGTCATTCACGTTTTTCATCTCAAAAAAGACTTGGATAATCGTTTTGGAGGGACATTTCCTGTATACTTTTATTCAGTTGCTTAGCTAATCGAATGCGTGGTTGGTGCAACTGCACTAGGACCCACAAGCTTGAGGTGCCCAGTTGCCAGGTTATAAAAAGGAGGAAAGATTTGGCAAGGGGTCCCAGACCCATTCATTCATTGTACAGGGCCAATGCCAACCGTGTTATGTCACTGTTTTTATTCATGTTAAACTCAGATACCTCATAGAGGTTTCAAGACTCTTCAGCAAATTCCTGCAGGAGTGATTTGCTGCTTTCTTTTTGAGGTATTTTTGTGAGCAAATAAATTGTAGTGCCTGGAGAAATTTCACACGGAGAGAACACTCACTGCAATCCATTTGCCATTTTCTATCGCCATCTCAGTATGATCCGTCAACCCCTCTTCATCTAAGTGGTGGTGCAGGGGTGTTTCTTGCTCAGACACCACCTTTTCTCCACCCGGCAACCTGGGGGAGGTTACTGTGGGGCTTTCGTCCTGAAATAGAAAACTCAGAGATTCAACGATTCATTCCCGACCTCCAATCGGTGAGTCAATGAATGGTCATGATTTTGATCCAATCATATTTTCCTTTTATTAACATTTTCGTGAATGGTAGCACGAGTGGATGCACCTCTCGTGGATACACCAGTGACGTGAACCCATTGAACACACCAACCTAAGCACATTGGCTGAATTCAATGGATGCATTATTACACCTATCGTAGTATAGGAGCCAGTGGACTTAATTTGAATGTAATAAATACTTATTCTGTACTTTTACTGATAAAATCAAAAGTTCACAACGTGAAGAACTATACATGGTTCATGTAACAAAAGCAGATGAGAGTTGGATTAGCCAAGGGGTGGAACACCAAGGGTTGCACTTGACATGCCAAGAATACGAGTTTGATACCTGGCAGGAATGTAATGATGCATAGGTTAATTGATTTAAATCGATTCTTATGCTTACGATGCATGCATAAAATTATGCAAATGAGATCTCTAACTTCTATGTTATAATTGGCTCACAAACCCTGAAGCTGCTAACGGTTATGCATGCAACTGAATGTGAACTCGTAAGAGATCATTTAATTGGATAACCACCGAATTATGAAAGGTGTTTGGAATCCTGAGGAAGGACTATCCCTACATACCTAGCACCGAGTTACGATCCATTATTTTTTCCAATAAACCACTTTTTTTTTAAGAATTGAGTAGATTACGAACGAAAAGAATATTGCAATCAGATTAAAGTTATTTAATCTTCTCCTTGGCATGCAAAGGGTAGCTATCGAGTGTCCCACTTTTGGGATACAGTGTCAGCTGAGCCACAGAAACAGTTTTTTTATTCAGAGCACTAAGCAACACGTTGCAGTGCCATCTATATCCCCTGCCCTGCACCACGATCAGTCAGCCCCCACCCCTCTTTATTAAACCAGGGGTGTGGAACATACTACCTGATCCACAACTTCATATCATATGGCCAGCGGCTATGTGGCCTACCACTTCTAAATAGCCTTCAAATTATATTTATGTCACTGCAAGCATCCTCGCCTCATTAATTGGGTACTAGAGGGGAATATTTTCGTTCTAGCAACAGTTTCTAATTTATGCGCATTCACTTCTAAGAAGTGTCTCTCGAGTGACATGAGTGTCTCTTGCAGTGACAAAGTGTGTTAATGTGTGGCCTGCTAAAGGTAGTTGAAATTCCTACATGCTCATTAAATGAAAGGTTCCCACCCCTACGTTAAATAGTGTCACTGCCAAAATCTAGTCGATGTGTTCCAGGTGAATGCCAACACACCTGACCAACAGGTCCTGTGTAGGGTAATAAAAATTGTTATTTTCTATTCCATATAATTCTGCAAATGTTTGGAAAGGCTTACTGTATGTGAATTGCTTCAATCAAATCTAGACTAATAAACTTGATCTGTTTTGACTTGTCGGCTGCAAATGGTGTGGGTGTCATCGCAGAAAGATGCATTTGGTTATGCCCTAAGGGGGGCAAAAATAGTAAATGAAGCGTTGTGCATTATTTCCCTTCCTTGGTTTGATGAGCTGTTTGTTGACTTAATGAGATTTGAACTGGGACCCTTATAGTGGGAGTGGAATACTATTAACCTACCGGTGTCAACCTTCCACGCCACCAATGGTCGATCATCAACCAAATCAGGACGGGGCATGGCTAATGCGGCCGCCTGATGCACAAATAACACATCAAAGACTCGGTGGCCTGCGGGTGCAGCCATGAATCCCTAACCATTGACATTGTAAACATCAGCTGTCTTCACTCCTTTAAAGGAGGAATGGATGAGAACCGCTCTGCTTATAAACAAACAACGGCGAGGAGAAATCTAAAATTACATCTTTAATCTGTTATTAATTCATACGAATGAAGAGGATAACCACAGCATCACCCAGTGGAATGCAGTGCAATTAATGTTTAGCTTTATAAAATAATGTATTTGGATGCAGGGGGTTGGCAGGAATGACGTTAGGGGGTGAGGAAACATGCAATAGGGCCCTGGGGATGTGTCTTTTAGAGACGTTAACTAAACAGGTTAATATTAATGGCAAGCATAAACCTCGTAATAAAATATAAATTCCCAATCTCTTAAAAGACCAAACTATCATCTGATAATCTCATTGAGGGAAACTTAGCTTGGCTCTACATTTCATGTCCAAACCATGAACACTGCATTGTTGAAGTCAACAGTGGTTGTGCTATTAAAATATATATTTTTTGCCTCTGCTAAAAGGAATGTGTAATTTACTGATATTTTATTTACGCTAAATTGGTTATATAAGCATAAATTAATTGATTAATTGATTCATTAACCTGGCCAACACATTTTATTCAAGGTACATTGCTGTGTGGAGACTCAGAGTTGAGTGGCGACCGACTCCTGATGCCTCATCCCCGATGTTATTGTGGAGGCGCTGCCACTCACAGGAGCATCACCACTGCTCTCCCACTCTGAACCCCACTCGGTGGAGAACTCTGAACCCCACTCGGTGGAGAACTCTGAATATGGGACCTTTCTTGCCGGTATCAAATTATAATAATTTGTTTCACCCTTTCTGGAAACATCTTAACACTTGTTCTATTGCCAGAAAGGGTAAAAAACAATTCTTGTAACTCCATGATTGCAGGAGTGGAGTCCTCAAATGCCAGGTTATATTCGCAGTTCCAGACCCCACTCCGATGTCTGCTTGCTCCCAGTAGCTGCATCCACAGCATTCCGAGCACTGCAAGTAAGCTCAACGTGAACTCGGCTTCACTAGGGACATGCCATTATTTCTGGCTAGAGCCTCAGGGATTAACAACATAACAACAAACTTGATTTTAAGCTTTCGTGACTGCAGGAATTACTATTTGCTTCCTTTCGGTAAAGTCACGTAGAAATAAAATAACAGTACAACGTTTCGATTGCAACACAACACAAGCAACCGTCATCAGGTAGAACTCAATTTGAGAAAGAGACAAAACACAGACACGGAGACACACAGACAGACACACAAGCAGAGAGAGACAACACAGACAGAGAGAGACAGAGTTCCTAAGGGTGTCGGTCTGGCGCTCCGAGTCTCTGTTATTGACAATTAACCATAGTCTGCAACGTATGCAAAAAGTTTCCAGTCACAATAAATATTGTTCATTCTGCACTCAAGTACTGGCAGCTGAGCAACATTTTTGCCAGTGATTGAGCCCAGAAGGTGACAGCTGTGCAAAACGAACGTCATCACGCAGTAAATAACAGCGGCTGGTATGCTGTTATCAGCTAATGGATCGTCATGCACCATCAGCTATTAATAATATAGTGTTGATATTCTTGGTTCTTTCGGTAAAGTTACGTAGAAGGGAAACAATAAAATAATTAAAATATATGTACAAAAATATTTTTTCTTATTTTATTGTTTCCCTTCTACGTGACTTAATATATATTTTTATTATTTTATTGTTTCCCTTCTATGCGACTTTACCGAAAGAACCAAGAATATGAATCTCTGCAGTCACGAAAGCTTTAAATCAAAATATAGTGTTGATTGTACGCTTTGTTGTTACAGTAATGTATTAATCAGTGATGTGCTGATGTTACCTTCTGTGTCAGGTATCTGGATGGAATGGCCAATGTGATCATGCCAGTTTGTCATGAAGAGCAGGCGCCCGGGGCCAACATGTCAGATCTGCACATGATTTGCAGGCTAAGCTCAGTAAGCTGCATCGTGCCAAACGACTAAATTCCTAGCCACATATGCGTGTGACCAAGTACGTGGCACTTGCTTGTTTTTTTAATTGTGCATTTGAAGTACACAAAATGTTTAACACGTGGGCTGTCGCGACCAATATTATCCATAAATAAGTTTTTTTGGGGGGTTAGACGGCATAATGTAGCTGGTTGTAATGGCCAGCGAAACGTTGTGCTCGAATTGTGAATGTGGGTTTACGCTCCAATACACGGGTGTGCTGAAGGAGTAACTAATTGGCATGTTTTTTTTTTACGTGACAAACCTTACTGATTGGCTGTGTCGGGTGGTGGCGGTTTTAATGACATTAATATTTACGCGCTATAAACCAAAAAAAGTATTTACGTACACAAAATATAAAATACTACATGCAGTCATGAACAGTATAGAATTCAACATCACAAAAAAATCCCCATGTTAATTCGTATACCAAGCTGGGTAGCGCGGTGTTAAAAGTGTTCAACTCACAACCCGAGTTCTTTAAGTATTTTTTGCGATATTGGTTACAGAATAAAAAGCTCGGTAAAAACCAGTTAACTGTTTGCTGCACGCATATGTTTGATCTGTTCTCTTGATGAGGCAGTTTAAATGATGGAACAACTTCCTTAAATACCCCCGCATCTGTCTGCTCGGTAGTAGAAATGAATACACCACAGTAAGATTTTCGGCAGGTCTCGTGTAGTGGAGCAAAGTATTTGGACATTCCACTTCTTCCAAGACGTCTTGTCGAAGAGTAGACAAAATACCACCTAAATCTTGACTTAAAGCTTTCGTGACTGCAGGAATTCATATTCTTGGGTCTTTCGGTAAAGTCACTTAGATCGGATGGGGTACAAACTGAGCAATCATTGGAAGGACATATTCTTGATTCTTTCGGTAAAGTCACGTAGAAGGGAAATAATAAAATAATTAAAATAAACCAATTAAAACATTTCATTGGAAGGACGTTATCAACCAGTGTAAGTCATAATTGGCTATGATATTCGCATCTTACCACCTTCCGATGTTAGTTGTGCTTTATGCCCATTTCAAACTTGCACTTTCACAGTCACTTCGTGCGCCGACCCCTTGGCTGCGGCTCTGCGATCTGCCATTAACATTTAACATGCTAATTTTCACCTGGCAGCCCTTTGATTGGTGGAAAACCAACCACCGTCGGGTTGGGCTGCCCACCACTTACATTATCATTGGCTGCTGACATTTGGGCTACGCCCATTTCAGACCCCTTATAAACAGTTCGCCTTGGAAGCTAACCCCTCTTTTCCTGAAGACGACCGCTTGTGTTGCGATCGAAACGTCGTAGTTTTTTGTTATTTTCTTTGAACCTAACTACGTGACTTTACCGAAAGACCCAAGATTATAACACATTCCTGCGGAGGGAGCTGGTTTGAACGTTGGGTTGCTCAGTCAATGGCCAGGTCAACGGCGGCACCACGTGGTGTATTCCGCAAATATGCCCGACTGTGAGGGCGGGCAGAAGCCGGCGCGAGTAGGTTAAACATTGAGTTTATAAGGGCACCACGGGGTGACCAGCCCCTCCCCACCCAGCCCCACCCTTCCCACCCCCCACCCAGCCCCACCCTCCCCACCCAGCCTCTCCCCACCCTCCCCATCCAGCCCCTCCCCACCCAGCCCCTCCCCACCCTCCCCACCCAGCCCCTCCCCACCCTCCCCACCCTCCCCTCCCCACCCAGCCCCTCCCCACTCTCCCCTCTCCACCCAGCCCCACCCCTCCCATTTTTGGATGCACGACAGACGGACGAACGGACACCATAATCCCCTGTGGGCTGGTGTTACCAGGAGGTTACTACCAGTAAAATACCACCTGTTGCTTCCTCTACTGCAGACATTCCGCCAGCAGTGGCGCGAGAGAGCAAGCAACTGCAGGATTGCACAACCATTTTTTTTAAATATATGAAGCAATTGGCAGGACCCCGGGGTCCCATTACTGCCCCGGGGTGGGAAAAGCCGCGTAGCGACACGAGTCTTGTTGCCTTACCGACAACAAAACTAGTGTCAATCGATTGGCCTTATAGAGAGCTACTCTGGGCACTAAGTTTCGTAAAAAGTTGAAAAATTACATAAACACGTTAAATTCACTGCGGGGGGGGGGGGGGGCTCGCCTTGGTAAAGAAGCTGAGGGTCGACAGCTGACCGGAGGGCGTCGTCGCCGCGCGCGACCACGGCGGACGCCCCCCGGGGCTCGCGTTTGGCCGGTGGGGTGGCGCCCATTGTGTCGATCGCCGCCTGCTGGCGCTTATTGGCGCGAGTCTGGGCGGGCGGCGCGTTGCTGTTGGGATCACGAGTGGGCGGACTGAAACATAATTGTTGACCTGATTTTTGCGGGACCCCGGGGTCCCGCAAAATGATTCATATAAGAGAGCAACTTGGACTTGGTCCGCCCGTCTGTTTGCGCATGCCAACCAGCTCATTCATGACGACAATTCCACTGCTGACGGTTACCGGTTCCTCACTTTTTGAACCGGTAACCAACTCTGAAAACAAGGTTCTGGTTTACCAGTTGTTTAACAACCCTACTCAGCCTCCCGATTGTGAGTTGAAATCCTGGTCACTGCTTGGTAAGTGGATGCTCTTCATGAGCGTAATCGTGACTCAAAACAGGTGGAAAAAAACGAATGCATGATTGCTTTCCAACCTGAGTTTGAAAGCATGAATGGAGATGGACCTGGAGGAGAGGCATGTAGAGCAAGGTTATGAAATGAGATTCAATGATGTTGGAGCTTATGATTAGATTATATGTTAATAACAGCTGATGGGGTGGGAATATCACAACATGACCTATTGATGAGGTATTGGTAATAATGAGATAAGGAGATGCACTGATGAGATTGAGTTTGAGAATAAATGTTTTGATCATCAGATAAATATAGAACGGACATAACACAACCCCTGGCCATGAGATGAGACGATGAATGAGATAGGGTAATGTGTCAGTGTGATGTGATCTGAAATAAAGACGCTCTTCGAAAGTAATTTTTCGGTAAGAAACCATGTATTTGAAGTCGTTTCATCACAGTAAAAAAATATATAAAAAATTGCTAAGTCATAATACACACTCGTGATTATTTTCAACATAAATACAGTTCATATGCAAAACAATCAAAGGGATAAAAAATATATCCTGAAAAGTAGAGCTCTGATTCAGGCTTTCCTGAATAAAAAGGGCATCATGGTTTAACATTTGTTTAAAGTTAACATTACAAATGTTCCAAATACACGTTTTACCAACACTGTTACATGTTTGCATTGCATGGCAATTAAAACATATACAAGGACTGCATTCATATTTACAAAGAGGAACTAAGCAGCTCTATTGTTCAGTAATACTCCGGTTTACTTCGAGGACAAATATCAAAACGACATAAATCAAAGTAATGTACAGGGTAGGTGGTGGAGGCGAAGGCCGAGGCGACGGACACAAGAAAGGACAGATGCTAACAGCAACGTGTGGGTTGAGGCGATGCAAATCAGGTTGTGGTATTAAGGTAAAAAGGGGAAAACGTAAACCGGGGTATTATTCTTTGGTTCTTTCGGTAAAGTCACGTAGGAGAACTGATAACGTAGCAGGTCTCCTGCTGTGTTTGTTTCACCTGATGACGGACGCTTGTGTTGCAGTCGAAACGTCGTGATCTATTAATTTTCTACCTACGTGACTTTACCGAAATAACCAAAGAGTATGGATTCCTGCAAATCAAGATCGGGGTATTATTGTACATAAACGCAAATATATTACAGTCCTATTAGGCTGAGGACATTGTCAAATTCATCTAAATACACTGATGATTAAACTACGGTACACCTTCTGGAGACAGAGCCTCAGGATAGTAATTCCAAAACCTCGTGTCGTGGAATCAACGTTAAGTTAGTCTTGACTGCTTCTTGCAGTCGAGTCTCAGGACACGAATCATAACACAGTGACCCACGCACCACAGGCAGCATCACGGGAGGTGGAGGCTAGGGTGCTATCAACCTCCCCCCACCAACGTGGCAGAACAGGGTGGGGGGGCATGATTGTTGTGGATAGTCCCAATTGAGTAGTTTTTGAATTGTTGGCAAATTTGTATCCTTATGTTGGCACACAAGCGTCTCGTCTTCATGTTGCCGCTCCTAACTTTTGGAATAAGCTCACTTTGTGGTTTCAGCTTAAACCCCTCTTTTCCCTAACTTTTAAAAATTCTTTCCTTGATTTAAGATTTCCCTTTTCTTGAAAATTTGGTGAGCGAACCCCGTACGTGTTGGTGTTATTTTTAGGTGTTGGCCGTGTTTCTTGAGTGGCTTGAATGTTGTTTTCCTCGAATGTGTTTGCTACTCACTGTCTGCATTGTTATGCTTTATACGCTGCTGGAACTTAATTTTTCACCAAGCTACTCTGCGGGACATTATTGTAAACTACTGTAGTTTGTTTCTTACCCGCGTAAACAAATACAAATCAATCAATTAACTTGCAAATTACATCAGAGGTTCTTTAACATCCACTGTGAAGTAGACGGAGCATGCTTTTGGTGAATAGACCTGCAGTATTAATCAGGGTGGGCACTGGATTAGAACTGTGAACATCTGCAACAACAAGCGAACGTGCTACTACTAGCCCATGTCACCGCCCCAAATCGCCCTTAATAAAGCGTACAACCCAATTGGCATGTTTTAACTGTCTGTGTATGTATTATGAAACAACTTTGTATATTATCAAAATCAAAAAGGTCGAACTCAAGTTGCCGGGTTCATATCACAGTAAACTAACCACTGTGCGACATATCAAATGTAAAATTATTGATTGTTACAAAATAATCGATTCACTGTATCATGATCAGCACTACAGTCACACACTTAGCTAATGCATTTCAGTGGACAGTGTGTAATACAGTGTTATAAAATAACACTGTATTACAGTGTTATAAAATAACACTGTAATACACACTCACTGATTTTGGGAAACAATTGATTAGAAATAAATTATGTTTTAATCATATAATACGACACATATCTAATTGCGAAAAACCTTAAATGGTCTTTGACCATGACATACAATCGCCATCCAAAACTTTTTTTGTGAGGGTAGGGACAGGCAATTCCGTTAGAGCAACGGAGCTACATCTTCTGAGGACTCATAAACGTTTCGTGTAGACTTCGTCATCTCCTTGCTGAGTTTGTAGAGTTGAAGGCTGCACATTACCACTGCAACAGCCTGCAGGAACAACATCATAGACATCAATACTGGATAATGGACATTGTGTTAAGCATAGAACGCAGGGTTATGATCATTTAAGGTGATGTTTTAAAGTTACCAAATGGCTGGTTTGGCAACCATAGTCACGGTTTCAAATAGGCTGCTGCAACATCCTTAAGAATTTCTGAAAATAAGGATGTTTTCCAAGGTTGCTTGACTCATACTACAAAGGACAACCTGTGTAGTCGGTGGGGTTGGCAGAAAAGTGGGCAGTGCCTGTGACCAGTAGGTGGCTCAATCTCAGAAAGAGTGAGGCCACTGACTGTGTGGGCGGGGCTAGCGGTGCAGTGGGCGTGGTTATTGAAAAGTGGATGGGGCTTACATCGGGAGGAGCTGCCATGTTCACCATGTCCCTGGTGAACCTCCAAAAAGTAAAAGCTTTCAGTGTTGGTGATGTGGGTGTGAGATGTTTGTGAGGTGAGAGAGAGGTTTGTGACATGGATGGAGTATTTGTCATGACAACGATAATGCCGTGTATTTATTTAGAAAAGCCTCATTGACTCTGAAGACTATTTTTCAAGACGGTCCTGTATTGGATTGTTTGGCCAATTCCACTTATGAGTGTTTGGCAAGTGGGAAGACACCAGAATGACCGGAGAAAACCCCACCACACAAACAATGGAATAAACCTCAAAGTTCCAAACAGAAGGATTTAAGAACTCATCTACCCTGCTTCCATCTCCTGGCCACCTCGCAGGGCAGCAGATTTTAGAGTTTCACAACTTCCTACATGATCCACCAACCCTTTCTTCCAAAGCACTGGACCACAGACCTGTACCATCACGCCTGCCCCATGATGTTTGTGTTCAGCCGTGGCCCAGTTATCGAGTGTGCAGGCAGTGGAATTGCACAGAGATGCCCACGGGTCGGATGGCCATTGGTGCTGGGTTAGAAAGACAGGGGTTCGCGTTTCTTTCCTTGCACCAGGGCCCATGCCAGCCATGCCACACCCCGGGGAGGCAAATGTGCGTCATTGTATCTGTGCCTACCAGCATGAGTGTAGAGATTATGGCGACTTGGATGAAGACTCTTTTGTGGTCCTGCAGGATGTCAATGTATTTGTCCAGGCAGCCCTAGTAGAGTTGAAACAAGATACATGCCAGGAGGGGATGGATGAGGGGGGGAAAAGATTAGGAATTGAAATGAGACTTCACCCTAAACTTGTACATGTCTATTGACCATACTTGACCACGCTGATTAGTACAGGTTGGTGAAGACAGAGCATAGACGTGGGGGCATAGAAGTACAGTGCAATCATTGATTTTGCTGCACTGCCCTAATCTTTCCAATATGTAGCCCTCCTGCAGCCAACAAAACCAAGTTTCATGCAAGGTGGTCACCTATCCATGAACTCAATCCAGCTTAACGTCTGAGCTCTGACAAGGTCGGGCACATTCCGGGTAATTTGGGCAATATGCATGAACAGTAGCGATGGTGGTGGACACCAGCTATTATTACCCCACACACCTGAGAACGTTGTTGCCCCCGTTCAGACAGGCATGGCATACAAAGGCATGGTATGGTGACCATCTGCCTTTGTCTCCCTAGTTGTGATGTTTACACATCACATTAGGATGCCACTCGAGGTCACTTTTCCTGGCTGTATCCAGTTGCCTATTAAACTGAAGCACTGGAAGTTTAAAGACAATCCTCAATATTTACAAGTTGCTCAACAGAAGTTGCTCAACCGAAAGACCCAAAGAATATGAATTTGCTCAATGGAGTTGAAAAGCGCATTAGTCAATACTGCAAAGAAGACGAGGGGATTCTAAGCAACCTGTAAATGCGAACAAATTAAAATGACATTTTCAGAACTTGACATCAACACCAAAACATTGAGAGGTTTGAACCAATAAACTGAAACGTCGCTCTTTCATATGCATATTGGATGACACTCTAAAACACCACATACATATTTCAGACTCAACCAACAGGCGTTATTGGAATATGTAAATATAGATATCAATTGTATCGGTGATACTAGTGTAGTGTAATAGCGCCGTCTGGTGGACAGCAGTGGCAACTGTGGTGGACAGATAGTATACACGCAGGTGAGGGAGTGCACAGTGGGTTGGCAGAGGGGAGGAACTAGGGTAAGGGTCACTGAGGAACCCATCTGGAGGCCCCTGAAACCTGCTAGCGGGTTCGAGGAGGGAGGCGCGGTCAGGGCGGAGCCAGGCCGCGCTGGGAGCATAAAAGGAGCCGAGAGCGGGGAGCTCGAGGCTGCCGGTTCTGGGAGTGGACTCGTCTCGTCGTTGCTGTAGTCTCGTTGCCGTCGTCACTAAACGTCTCCGCTAGATGTTGCGCTATGAAGGATAATAGTTGGCTGTCTCAGTCAGCGTCGTCAGTGTTAGACGGCTAGTGTTGTGTGCAGGCTAAGCTGAGCTACTGTGGAGAGTGTGCAGACCATGACAGTTGTTAATAAAGAAAGTGCCTCCTATAAACTCTGTCTCTGAATCGTTGACACTACACTCGTATCAATGCATCGGCATCAAAACTGAAGGCAGTAGTATGACATGCCTCTCGATGCACAGGTGCTGCCTCCAAGGCATCTATTGCCAATAACAATGATCCCACATGTGTCTCCACCCTAACATGAGGTTGACACACATTAAGGTAAACCTATGACGCAGGAACATACTTTATCATCATCAAGGCAATTATATTCGACATCAAAGTATTTTTTTAATGTTTATGTTAATAAAATAGAGCACTATTAAACATGCAAAAAAGATACCCATATTTCTAACAATAACACGAAAATGATATCTTACAATCACCCATTGACATGATCCAAATTAACCTAATCCTGGCACTAACCCGAATCCGACCATGACCGCTGCCCGTCTCACCTGTGGATATGGCTGACAGGTTAAGCTGAGATGTGGCCCACAGCAGACCTTGGGGATGGTGTCGAAATCTGAGGCATTGTTGAACCCACAGCACTGAAACTGCAGAGAGGAGAAAACACAATCACAATGGTTAACTCTTTATATCGTTCCAGGACTAGTGAGGTCAGTGCCTTTTAGGGCTGACATGAATTAGGGATGGTAATTGGGGTTGAATGATCACCAAATCGGAGGCAATTGTCTCATGTATTACCATGTGCATAATAGGTGTGTGGATATGCAGGAACGGTTGTGTCTGTTTGCTTGGGTGTATTTTGTGCATGTGTCTATGTTCGTGAGTGTCTGTATATGGACACGTGTCTGGATTGACAGGTGCGTGCTTCACCTCTGACATTGCATGGTTCCATGCTGATGCGAGCACGAGGTTGGATTCAAACTCGTGCCGAAGAAGCTGTGAGCCCCGCGCCCGAATCCAGGCAACCAGCTACACACACGAATCACAGGAACGCCTGTTAGCCTGGCAGATGACTTGGGCAAGTGCTGTTTGTGACCACCTATTCTGGCACGCATATTTAGTTGCATGTATCGTGAGCATTATAATATATTTAAATCGCAGAATACTTACATGCTTACGCATTAAACTCACTCTACATGTATCAGCTCTCACCATCCAGCACTAACCACTACTGTGTGTTTAACAATTTCAACATAATCGGGTTAAAACATCACCCAAAAAATATAAATTTCTCACCCCTCCACCCCGCCATACCGAAGTTGCTAAACCCGGTTTGATGCCGGGTTCTCGATATACGCACTCTGTGCTCTAATTAGCCACCCACATGGCCATTAGCCAAATTCCCTTCTTGCTCTTACAAACCCCCCGTGACCACAAACACCCACGACATATTTCTGACACGAGATATCATCCATGGCTTCCTCTAAAAAAAAAAAACCCCCTCATTGTTGTCGTTTCAAAACCGGAAACAGAAGCCCAGGTGCGATATATTTTCGATATTTGAGCCCTCGAGACGTAACGCATTATTTCCACCTCCCGTGGAAAGTCACGAACACATTCATGCACAATGGGATAGTGCTGCTTGGTGGGACAGCGGTGGAAATTGTACATTTCTTTGGCAGTGCCAGTCTCTCCATTTTAAAAATCCAACCACTCCTGACCTCAAAGTGGTAATTATTTCATAAACCCTAGAGGAATGATGCGCAAAGTCCACCCTCACCATTGGGATTTGCAACCCACAGATTGTGAGTCGAGCACTCTTACTGGATTGACGGTACTTTAATTGTCTGAGTTTGGGTTTACGGCCTTGTCCCTACACTCATGGATGAAGGCCTCCCCATCTATGTTAGTCACTGTGGGCTTGTTTGACCAAACTCCACTACACTGGTCAGTGTGGGTTGGTAAAAGAAGGGGGGTGGGCAGGAATGGTTCAGTTATTATTCGCCACTGACGTTACCCTTGGCGAGAAATCAAACTTGGGTCTCCCATTTATTTGCTCAGATGCATTGGTCATTATCAAATGTAATTTTCCAAAAGCACTTTCACTTGACATCAAACACCTCATTATGTCATTATTTTGTTTCCAATCTGCCTTCAACTATTGCCCTATGTATGCCTACTATGTTGTGTTTTCAAGGTGTGTCCCTCCGTCACTAATTTGCTGTGTTCATTGTGATGTAATATCTGACAAAATAATACAGTGAGTGCCAGTTTGGCAGAGGCGCGCAATTATTAAGGCAAAAGGTTGAGCCTCGTAAAGTCATGACGTCAAGTTTGCCATATATTACACGTCACAGTAACTGTGGGCCTGTGTTTGTGTGGTTACACTTGTATTAAGTGCTTCCATAATCATTCTCTTGCAGTGTAAACTATATGGTATTTGTGTATATATATCCTTTGCGTCTGTCTGCGTGTTTGCTTATCTGGTGTTCATGTATATAAATAATCATGATCATGGCAGTGATTGTTGTTAGAATTGTTATTGTAATGAAATTACCTCGGGATCTGGGATGAAATATTGAGCAGCGACGATTGCAGACAGACTCAGGAACACAGCAAGCGCCATGAACTACACACACAATTACACAGGCATCACCAGGTCTCATCAGTGATATCACCGGCTCCCATTAGTAACACATGATTGATGCTTCGTCCATGACCGTTGTAAAGCAGACCCGCGGCATGCTAGGCCATACTGCATCATTCCGAGAATCAGAGCTAAATATTAGTCCATTTTGATTTGTTTTTCGGATCATATTTTTTTTCATGACATCTATTCAGAAGGACCTTGCTTTTGGATGTTTGGCTAATTCCCTTAAAAATATTTTAGTTGTGAATGAAAACAACATTTACCTTAAAAAGAACCCCACACGAAAAATAGATCACTCCAACTTCACGATACAGTTTTGACTCCCGTGAACCCACAATGCTGCTTGCCCTGATGAAAGGACCTCCCATGGTCTGTATCTTTGCAATACACCAACCCCCACCTCCAAGTTGCCAAATCACTTCTAAGTTGCTAAATCACTCCTGCACCCAGAAATGCTGATATTGACTATGATGACGAACATTACCGGAAACGTCTGCACGTGTTTTATTAATGTCCTCTCTCCGCATAGGTACACTCACCAGGAGAAGGAGGGGCCACAACTGATACCAGGCGGCCACCACGAGAAGCAGGGCGATGAGGCTGAGAAGCGCACCACCTCCGAGACAGGCGACCCGGGCCCCCAGTCCCAGAGACTCCGACGTCAGCCACCCTGAGCCCAACGATCCTGACACCGGTAACTTTGATATTGGAAACTCTGACTCCAGAGTTTCTGACCCCACCGAGGTTGACCCCAGAATGTCAGAACTATTACCACTGGTATCTAGGGATGGCCTCAGAATTGTGGACCCCATAGTCCCCGACATGAGGATCTTTGACCCCAGCAGAGTTTCCAGTACTGAGCCGTGCACGGGCAGACAGGCGCCCACGCCCACCAGCGCACACGCGCATACCTGCTCACACGCACACACACGTACACACACGAACACACACGCACGTTATTATCTGTTCAAATTACTGACCCTTGCAGCATCCTTAATAGGTGCTTGCAAGCAACACTTGCCTCAACAGATTATGTAATGTATATAGGGGATTTTTTTAATGATACGTGTAGATTGGCTATGATGTTAGATGGGGAAGCCCCTTTTACCCCAAGGGCCTTTATCAGCCCCCTTACCCCCGCTCACGTTCTTTCAGTATGAGAGCTGTGTATACACTCGTGACTAATTCAGCGTCACGTGCACACTGACGCACGATGAGATAATAATCTGTGGAAATTTGACGTTTCTATAGCATAGCCAGTCTCTAATAAAAAAAACTACTGTTGACTTGGAATGAAATGGCATTAGTGCTTTCATAAACCCCAGAGGAATGATGCGCTAAGTCCGCTCTCACAATCGGGATTTGAAATAGCAACCTTCAGATAAAAGTGATTGGGAGTCCCCTTTTCAACTCGAGCTATCAATGCTTCGATATTTGCGTTGTCTTTATGCTGTTTGCCTTTTGGTGTCCTCTGGTCTAGCACTGGTGAGACAAGGTCAATTAGTTTAAAAGTTTAAAAGAAAACGCATTTATATATTGTAATCAGAGCATGTTTGTTTGCTGGTTTTACCACAAGCGTCGTGTGTGGTTAACGAAAACTTGATGCCTTGCAATGGGTGTCTATTTGGTGTTTTAACATTGGGGCGTCAGAGTGACGAGATGTTAATTCCCTCGCCTGGTTTGTAGGAGGTCGTCGGTTCGATCCCAACCCTCACGCCTGTATATTTGGAGTTTGCATGTTCTCCCTGTGGTCGTGTGGATTTATATCCGGGCCCTCCGGGTTTTTCCTCCACATTTAGAAACATGCGATTAGAGTATTTGGCTGCTATAAATTTCCACGTGATCAGCCACTTCGTTGAGCTATCATTGTGGCCAGGTCTCTTCTGAAAAAATAGCTATATAGCTCAGCGAGCCTTACCTGGAAAAAAAAAATTGTTTTAGCTTAGTTTATAGTATTCTTTCCGTAAAGGGTAAAGCCTATTCTTTTGTTTCATTATTTTGAAACTGCCAAAAAAATTAATCATCGATGTAACTATTGTTGTACTCTATGCTCCTACGCAGTGATCAGCGTGGTAAAGTATGGTCAAATAGTCCCTCCCTGCGCGGGTGGGGACCCTCATTCAACAGCGGATGATTAATTTGACTGGAAACTATGATTGTCAATTACGCAATACATCTATTCACAGACCACACATTGATTCACATACAAAATGAAACGTCAAACATAGGCATATATTCATAATATAGGTTTTTTTTGGGTTAGATCGCGTAAATATATAAATGTGTCGTTAAAACCCGCCACCACCCGACACAGCCAACTAGTAAGGGTTGTCACGTAAACAGAACATGTCAATTCGTCACTAGTACAGCACACCGGCGTGTTGGAGAGCCAAGCCACAACATTTACAATATGAGTACGACGTTTCGCCAGTAATTACAACTAGTTTCTAACCTAAAAAATACCTCTATTATGGATAATATTGGTCGCGAAAGCCCACGTGTTAAATATGGCTGTAGAGATGTACACATACAGTACTATATAGTACACACAATCACATTCACACGCCACATGCACGCATCGAGACAAGTCTTCATTCAATACTCGCACGTCGTCGTTACAGCGAATTGTTCTTTAAAATGGTTATTCGGACGAGACGTCGACATTCCTCAGCCAAGTTAGAATCCACAAAGATTCGACCAAATGAATTAACATTCGAAATACAATGTACGGTCTAAGCACATTTTAAACGACATGCCTGTATTTTATCTGGAGATATACTGAATGGCTGAGCAATGCTCGAGAGCGAGTGCTTATTATGACCTATTATTATCACATTTTCACGAATAAACCATTTTAAACGATCCACCAACAGCGCCGGAAACTCTCGAGCAGGCAACATTATTTTACCAATCTGATTCCATCGCCTGGTTAATTATACAATGATGGAGATCTATATCAAACGAATTAGTTGTGGACATTCCTTATTTAAATTGAATGAAATGACCCAGTTCATAAAAAAAACTGCTGCTCTTTCCTTCCCAACAAACTCCCACTTATTTTAACGGCTCTGAAGAATGTTTTTTTTCAAATCCGCCACCTAATGTTATGATCAGAGCGTGTTATGATCAGAGCGTGTTCTAACCGGCAAAGCCATCCGGGCGCATTTTTAGATAATTAGTGTTAATTGAGCAGGCACAGTTAAAGTGTCCAATTATGGCGAGGAGCGGTGTGTAGTGGGGTCGCTTACCGCTAAACCCAGGCCGAGCAGCAGCGTGGCTATCGTGAGCTTGGACACCTCCATCGCTTCTTGTCTCTCCTCGAGTCTGAAGTGAGTGAGCGAGGATCGGCGATTAATATAGGGGAGGGTCGTGGGTGCCTAAACAGCTCCCTCCCTCACCTCCACCTTGTGACGACACCCTTTTCCCCTCCCTCCGACCCTCCTCCCCCTCCGATGCGCACGACTGGCTACGTACGAAATAAGTTCAACATACATACATACTACACCCTCTCCCTCCGCTTTCCCTCTCTACCCCACCGCCTTTGTAACCCCGAGGTGATAAGTCCCTCTATTGCTTTGGTTTTAACTCAAAATTTGAATTCTAATAAGTGCAATTTATTGGACTCAACGTATTTCAAAGTGGATAAGACGGATAAAACTGTATCATAATCATCAACGATGATCAATGTGTTGCTGGATGAAAGTCCCCTCAATGCGTCTGACTTCTGCTTCTCAGCGATTTTGATCTTTGACAAACCAATTGTGTGCACTGCAAGGAATAGCGCAGGGGAAATAACATGTCAATTGTACTGTATGAGTCATGAACATCAACTAAGGGTCAAATGGTAGTTTACGGGGAATAAATATATATTTTTAAAAAACCCCTACAATCTTTGATACTTTGAAGCGATAATAAACATTTTATTCGGAGACTAAAACAAAAAAGAGGTCCACTTGGTGAGTCACAGAAATTTGACCAGGCGAGTCACAAGATAGCGTGTGTAGGAGTCTGCGTGGGTGGATGTCTGTGTCTGCGTGTCTAGGGGAGGTTGTGGCTCTGTGGTTTGGTTTGCGTGCGAGTGTCTCTGCAAGGACGCCACTGGGCAGAGGGAGGCAGTCGCCCTTCAACAACAACAACGGAGGGCAGATGAGCGACGCTCACAACAACGAGCGTTGCGCCGGGCGGCTAAAACGCAGCAGGTTGGCACAGTAGAGGGCACAGCTGGTGCATCCGCCAGTCATCTCAGTCAGTCAACCTGTCCCGTGATCTGTTGGCGAGCCTTCAACACTTCACGTGGCGTCAAAACGCCGTGGTGACGTCACCGCCACTTAGTGGCGAACGGCGAAGCGTTGATTGTTGTTGCTTGCGAATGTGTTTGTGTAGGACTCGGCATTGTAGTGGTAGCGCACTCTGCTGCGATCCCAGCGTCATGAGTTCGACCACCTGTGAACCGGTCCTGCCCCCCCACCCCTGCTCTGACTCGGCCTCAATTGAGTACCTGATGCAGTGTGTAAACATCCGCATTGGGGATGTAAAGGCGCACTAGCGTGTAGTGCTGGCCAATCGCGCTTTCCGCTACAGCCTGAGAAGACTATACGGGTGGATCTTTGGCTTCATGCAATAATTATAATTAATTACCCAAGTGTGCGTGACTGTAATGCCAGCTGAGGGTGTGTTCTGAACTGTCAAGAATGCTGCCAATGCGTTCCCATTAACATATTTATCAATATAACAGCACGCCACTCATTGCAGAGCGTTTGGTAAACATTACAGGTGCAACGATTACGCGATCCAGAGTCGTGATTACAAAGTAAACTTGAGTAAATATGACCAACTCACAGGCAGCAGTGGTACAGAAATGGAAATTTTATGGAAATTTACTCACATGTAATTTGATGGCGACCTGGAATTGATGTTTTTGCATAATGCAAAAATATATTTTTACACGTTTTGTGTGATGTGTGTGGATTTGTTGGCACAGGTTAAACATCTCGGTCAGTTAACCCATAACACCTGGGTTTTATTCCATGACCTGACTTCAAAATGCACCTAGCCTGGTACAAGTGTGGTGGTGACGTCACCACCTTAGTGGAGATTGGGGATGGTTGTTGTTATATTCTTGGTTCTTTCGGAAAAGTCACGTAGAAGGGAAACAATAAAATAAAAAACAATTTAAATTTTTCTTATTTTATTGTTTCCATTCTACGTGACTTTACCGAAAGAACCAAGAATATGAATCCCTGCAGTCACGAAAGCTTTAAATAAAAAAATATGGTTGTTGTTGTTGTTGAGGAAAGCAATGTCGCAGTGGTTCCTGACCTAGGGTGAACGTCATTGGCACATGGTATTTGAATCTGTCCTGGGGGCATTTAATGAGTACCGAGTGCAGTGTAAATATCACCACTTGAGAGACAGTCGGCTGGGTGTGGCGCAATACTCCCCGTAATATTGTTTACAGTATATGAATGTAGAGTACAGCATATATGAATGTACGTCTGAATATGAACATATACCTATGACCAAATGACTCTGAATGTTCTCGCCATGTATTGAATGTTAAGCAGTTTGAGCCTGGTTAGAACTTGCATTATTGTTTTTCTGGTATTATAGTGTGTTGTAGGCGTGGGTTGTAATGCACGATAATCCCGATGTGGATCATAGAGAGCATTGGATTCTTGAATCCATGTGTGTGGCGCGTTGATTGTTAATATTTCATACACGTGGTGGATTTGCTCCACGTGCTCTGGTTTGCTCGCGCATGAAGCCAAACAACTTATTAATAGGAATGGTCAACATGGCAATGCAGGACCCTCCTGGAATAAAGTCTGCAAGCTAAGTGAGTATTTCTTCTGTAAATATAGGGAATTGATAAATCTGTGTATTTGCATGCCAGTACATGTCGGATGGATGTGAATATATGTGTGCACGTGTTTGTCGATTAGCACAAATTTAGTGTTTAGGACGGACTGAAACATGACATTTAAACGGTATATCCTAGTTGTCATCAGCCGTGATCTATCTACTGCTGGGTGAAGGCCTCGCCAAGCCGTCTACATCATTCGCAGTCGTGCGATGCAGCAATTCGTACAGCTGCTGCACGCGAGCTGACGTCAGGGCTCCATCTCTTCGGTGTGCGCACTCTTGGGCGTGTGCCCACGTACGGCTGCCACTGCGTCATTCGTCTCAGATAACAGCCTTGAGGGAGAAATATGGCCCTGTAATACACAATAAACATGTATACAAAAAAAATGAGCGGAGCCATTGTATGGAGATCTATATGTACATGGACATAGAACATCGCTTTTTACGCAGGCAAACCCGTGCATGGGTAGCGCACTTTTATTTAGAATGGAGATTATTCCATTAATTTATGCCTTAAATCGCTAATGTGCGTGGCCGTGTATTGTGGGATCAAATCGAGACCACAATTCACAATAACTCATTCAATCGCGAGGGAGGAGCGAATAATTCCAGCCCATGTGCGCAAATGAAGACAAAGATCCATAAAAAAATTACTTCGCAGACGATAGGTCTCCTTCACATATCCATCAAGCCATATCAACAGAAAAAAGTGTTTCACAACCCATCGGCCCAGTGTTCTTCGCTAATTTTGAGAGGGGGGCCACTTTCGCCAACAAGACATCAATTTGAGGGCCGCCACATCGCTTGCAAGGGGTGTTTTCACATTTGTGTATTGTCGGCGGGCGAACGTGAGGGGCCGCACTAAAGGCCACGAGGGACTGCCAGTGGCCCGCAGGCCTTGCAATGAAGAGCACTGCATCAGCCGTACGGCCTTTTGGGAGTGCGTCATTTCAGCAGCATTGTTTCGAGTCAAGCAAACTCGAGACCTGTTTCGACACGCGGTTTCTCATCAGCAGTCAGACTTGCTTAAATCAAATCAGTGCTGGTGACCTGTCGGTCTTATAGGCAAGGACTATATAAGCTGTTGGGGACCCTACTGTTAGGGAACACCTATCGAGTCAGCAGGGTTGATGCTTATAGATGGCACCAGTTATTCATTTTAAGGATGAGTCCAGTCTCAAACGTTGTGGTGATCGGGAATCGAACTCAGGTCACCGGGTTCGTAACGCTGAGCGCTAACACATGTGCATAATCACACGCTCTCTCTCACCTGGGTGGGATTAAGTCTCACACGCGATCGTCACAAACACAATGCACACTGACACACGCGTGTGTGTGTCTTCATGCCCATAACAAGCTCGCTGCTATACATAGGACTAGGGTGACGTGAGTCAGGCGTGTAATCATAAGTACAAATGAAAACACTTTTCATTTCTCTGCAACACCAAAAAAAATCACACAATCGTGCCGGCTATAGAGTTACAAAAATAGTAATACAGTAGTGCACATTCAAGTGTCACGCGTGTGATCCAGGTAAAGATTGGTGAATCACGCAAACTTGTAAGACTCCCGAATCCGCTGGGTTAGCCTCGTGAAGCGGTATGAGCGGACCTTTGAGTGCAAGTATTCCTCTCTTGTGGACATTCTCATGACTTCGGCGACCTGTGTTTGGTTCACAACCATGGCTGACATTAATTATAGCTGATTGGGCCCTATGCATAACCATTCACTAACTCACATTGACCAGCATGTTGAAGTATGGTCAAGCAACCCTTTAATCGACACGGTATGGGGAGAACTTCATCCAGGAATGGATTGACAATAGGCTATACGTTTCTATGTTGTAAGTTTCCTCCTACATGGTTACACTCATTCATGGCCTTGGCCAGCCATCCCCATTCATTAAAATCTTGTGACTCAGGATTTCCTGAATAAATAATTACGTGATTATTTATTATGAATACCATCGCCACCATCACACACTTTCCCGATTATTTGGTAAGTGGTTATGGCTCATCTGTGGCCTCTAAGACTCATAAAGCCAGCCTAAGTCCACCGGGTTACACAAGTGTGTGTCATGCATTACATGTGGCTCTCTGATCGCATAGAGCACAAAGCAAGAACAAATCTCTTGCGTTGTTACACGAATGCCATGCAATCGCCATAGCCAACAATGGAATTCTGATGAGCTCCAAAAGGCACACGGAACTTTTGTGAAAGTTTGTTGTATTGTTGTTACACAAATGCATGAGTCGCTAAGTACTGGGCAATTTTCGGAGGATCTGGAAAACTTCTAATCAGTGTGTGTTTTTTTTAATACAAATCTAGTCCAAGGGCCTGCAGAACAGAAATGACTACCACTTTATGCGGAAAAACTTTAGTGGCACCTATTTCTCTATGGAATAAAAAAATACTCTACAACCACTTTGTTAACCCACTGTTGCACGAAGGATTCTCAGACTG